ATTAACTAATTAATTAAATTTATTTTATAAAATCTCTGGATTTCAAGTTTAAGTTGGATATCTGTTTATGCATACAATAGATTTCTCTCTCCCCCGATTTCTGATTACAATAATTTTCATTGCTTGTTTACGTAAAACTTTGCATAGAGTTTCTGATTTATGTAACTGATCATTTATGTTTTTTCTTATCCTATTGTACACTTGCTTATCCTATTAATGAATTTTAATGCCTTGTGCAATGTTAATATTTTAATTGAACATAAGATTTGAAAAATTATACATGCATAGATACACTTTACATGTATATGCATATATGTACACAAAATCTTTAGTTCAGTAGCATGTAACAAATACTTAGGCAGTATCAAGAATAAGAGAGTGAGAATATTTACTAGCTCCTTAGAATCTACTTGAGCTCAGTTTGAAGCCTTGTGCACTTTTCCATTGCTGCCCATCAACCAACAACGGGAGCAACTGACTCATTTCTAGCCAGGTATATTAGCTCCTGATTTAGTGCTTTGTGTAAAGACAATGAAGTTCTCCTTACCTGGCTTCTTTGAATATTCTGTTTGTGTTTACATAGGCTAATTGCTTCTAGTCTCACGTCACTTTGCTCATGCCAGCACCAGAGAGTACTCATCATTGATTCCCATGAGTTCCATTCTAGTTCTGACTTTGGTATTTCTCTCCCACCAAGATGCAGCTGAGATCTCTCCCAGAAGGGAATGCAGATTATGTAGAAAATCTGGCAACTTTATCAAGCCTGGAAACCTGTCCCAGTGGCCTAGAGAGGCACAGGCCAGAGACTCCGTCCAGTAAGGGAGGGACTCCTTGAGCACAGCAGAGGCGGGCATATGCTTCCCAGCAGGTCCCTGCACAGGTGTGATGGTTTCCTGACTGCACTAGGAGATGTCGGAGACTGAGTACCCTGAGCATCAGCCGTGGACCTGTGGCTGGTGAGCCTGTGCTGTTGCATCAAAAGAGTTTGCATCTTCGAGCAGATCCCTACCCAGGTGGAATAGCCCCAGACTGCAGTAGAAGGGAGCTCAGCTGAAACTGTATTGGCTCAGGATTCACTGTGAGATGGAGGTTAGTGGACTCAGAGCAGAGGCTCAGACTCCAGAACTGTGGGAGCAGGAAAGCCTGCTCTGGGTCCTTGTAAGAGCAGTTCTAAGCAGGAACGTGAATTGAGAGAACCTGGAGCTAAGCCAAAGGGCCACTTTGAGCTTCACTGCCAAGACAGATGTATGCCAACAGAGGAACCTCTGCATGGAGGCACTGGTGTGTGTGATTCTTGCTAGACATCTGAGCAGATGACCTTGGAAGTAGGGGATGTATGGAGTCTGAGCCAAGTCCTCTGGGGACCTGGGCCATTTTTTTTTTTTTTTTGCATAACACCTGAGGTCATGACTAATGTGTCTGCTGTGTGAGTGAAAGACAACAGCAGAAGCGTGCCTTAGGTTTTGGGTTCCCCTTAGAGTTAACAGCCTCTTGCCAGAAACTTGGGCTCCCACTAAGAAGCAATATCTCTATATTCCCATTTTAGCAACTGTCCTGATTCTGCATCATCTGTAATATGGACCTGATCCTGTGTGGAGGCATATGACAGGATAGTTCTGTTGAAACGGTAAATTTGTGCTTTTTATTGGCATTGAGTTGAGGCAGATGCCTTGACAGGGGGAGCACGTTCATCCCTACTATTTAATTATCCTGGGGTTGGAGGAGAATGAGCTCAAGATACTAAGATGGCGCACCCAGGGTGGCTGGAGCAGGAAACTGTCGCTCTGCATAGTTGGGGCTGACTCACAGAGCTGAAGGGTTCTTTTGTACCCTGTGACTGAGGTAGTTTTCTGCACAAAAACTGGTGATTCAATGACTAGGCAATAGTGTGTGCTGTATAGCTGGGTCCCTGGGCACACTCACAGCTGCATGAGTCTTTTATGTGGCTCATGTTCTGACAGTGGTAGTTGTTATAGCCACTGTGGACTTATTTGGGGTTGATAAATAGAAAAGAGATGATGGCAGGCAGTGACTTTGCAAGAAGTTGTGATCATTGTCTCATCTGTGCTAATAACAGGAAATTCACCATATCTGACTTGGGTATCACCTGGACTCTCACCCCAGAGTATGATACCCATACCACCAGATAGCCACCTCATGGTCATTGATGCTATAAATCATAGGGTGTAGTTCAAAGGTAAAAAACATTAGAGTCAATAAACAGGCATATCTAGAAATGACTTTAGAAAGCACAAGAAACATAAAAAAGGAGACCATATGATATCCATAAAGGAACAAAACCACTCTGATGTATTAAAAGCAAAGATGAAGAGATTGCTGGAATGACTGAAGAGTGATTCAAATAAATGAGCAAAGAAATTCAAAAATCCATACACACATGAAGAGAAATCAAACTGAAATATTGGAAACAACTATTCAAAATGCCAATGCAAAATATAGTGGGAAGCCTTATGAACAGAGTTGATGAGGCAGAAGAGAGTCTCCAAGCAAGAGGATAATTTTAGGAAAAATCTCAAAAAGAAAAGAAAAAATAAGAAAAAATAAGGAAAACCAAAGAAGCTTTCCAAGATTTATAGGACGTTATCCAATGTTCCAGCAGTGTGCCTAGGACTATTTGATGAAATAATATCTAAAAACTTCCCTGATATGAACTAAGGAGTTTCCAAGTACAGAAAACATACACTCTTAATAGGCATTGCAAGATCTTCAATACAACACTTTCTAGTCAACCTTTCTACAGCTAAACGTAAAGAACAGATGCCACATTGTACACTAGAGAAATGACAGATTACCTATAGAGGCTTTCCAAACAGACTTACAGCTGATTTCTCATCTGAAACCCTAAGGCTGGGAGAGAGTGCAGAGACAGTCCAGATCCTAAAAGAGGGAAACTGACAACCAGAGTGCCTGCCCCACCAAGGCTCCCATCTTTATACGATGGCAAGTAAAGACTTTGCTAAACAAGCATAAATTGAAAGAATTTGGCACCACCTTTCCAGCCCTACAAATGATGCTTGAAAATGTGTTACACACAGAATGTCAGTCATACTAGTAAAGGCTGGAAAAGGACAATACCTGTAGGCACAGAGGAAAACCAAGGCAGACAATGAGGATGTTTATGACAAAATCATAAGACCATTTCATTACCTTTCTTTTTTAAAAAGAGCCCAGAATATCGAATCCCTGCTTTCCTTTTTTTTTTTTTTAAAAAAATAGAGTTTATTTATTTTTATTGGAAAAGTGGATATACAGAGAGTAGGAGAGACAGAGAGGATCTTCCATCTGATGGTTCCTTCCCCAAGCGACCGCAATGGCTGGAGCTGAGCCAATCCGAAGCCGGAGCCTGGAGCAGGGTCCCAAAGCTTTGGGCTGTCCTTGACTGCTTTCCCAGGTCACAAGAAGGAAGCTGGATGGGAAGCGGGAGCCACTGGGGTTAGAACCGCGCCCTTATGGAACCCGGTGCATTCAAGGTGAGGACTTTAACCGCTATGTTATCATGACGGGCCCCTTCATTACCTTTCAATAATAATCTTGATGTAAGTATCTAAACTCCAATTAAATCTTATATATTCCCTGAATAGATTAAATAAATAGACCTGCTGCCCATTATAAAAAATCTATGTGAAAAAAATGGTACACATAGACTGAAAGTTGAAGAGTGTAGACTCCAAACAGTAATGTTTTTTAAAAGATTTATTTATTTTTATTGGAAAGGCAGATGTACAGAGAGGAGTAGGAGAGAGAGGATTTTCCCTTCGATGATTCACTCTCCAAGTGACCGCGACAGCTGGTGCTGTGCTGATCTGAAGTCAGGAGCCAGGAACTTCTTTCTGGGTCTCCCACGTGGGTGCAGTGTCCCAAGGCTTTGGACCATCTTTGACTGCTTTCCCAGGTCACAAGCAGAGAGCTGGATGGGAAGTGGAGCTGCGGGGATTAGAACCAGTGTCCATATGGGATCCTGGAGTGTTTAAGGCAAGGACCTTAACTGCTACCCTATCTCGCTGGGCCCTCCAAACAGTAATATTAAGGAAGTTCAGCACCCCAACTTTCATTAAAGTATACAGTGACTAAACAGAAAATTAACAAAGAAAATCAGAACTAATATATTGTAGATCAATTGGACCTAATTGATTATACATATGGAACTTTCATTGCACATCACAGAATGCAATGTTTTCAAGAATTTTTGGAACCCACACTAAGTTTGACCACATGCTGGACCATAAGGAAAGCCCTAACATATTAAAAAAAATTGATACTATAGCATGTAGCTTTTCGGATCATCATTAAATTGATCCCAGAAAATATGAAACACATGCAGACTGGTTATCAGGCTACTGAATGAATAGTCTGTCATAGAAACACTAAGTTTCCTGGAAACAAATGAAGATGACAGCACATCATAGCAAAGTTTATGGACATTCCAAAAGCAGTGTTAAGTGGTAAGTTCACAACAATTAGTGGCAACATCAAAAAACCAGAAAGACATAAAAAAGTACTGTGTTAATACATTGCATAACTTAGAAAACCTACAAAATATCAAATCCAAAGTTAATAGAATGAAATCGTTAAAGTTTGATTAGAAATCAATAAAATTCTAAGTAAAAATATGTAAAATCAGTGAATTAAAGAACTCTTTTGAAAGATGAAAAATGATACATCATTAGCAAAAGTAACCAAAAAGGGAGAGAAAACCCAAATACATCATATCAGTTCTGGGAGTGAATTTAAAAATTTTCAAGCTGATTTTGAGGTCTCCAAATCGAAGCTTCTTTTTGCCTGCCTTGGAGAAATTCAAAGAGTACTAAAGCAGAGTTCGACAAGGGAGAAAAATGCTTCTTGAACAAGTATTTTATATATATAGCATTTGGATCTAGGGTGGAGATTTGTGATCAAGGGTTGGTCTCTGGGCTGCCTTACTCAGCTCCTATAAGAGGCAGGGAGAACTTGCTGGTCCCAGCAGGTGCACTCCTTCCATGATGTGGTTCTGTGCTCTGGTCCTGGCCTCTCTTGCTGCCTCCACAGCTTGGGGTGAGTGCTTCTCAAATACAAATGCTGGGGGTGGGACACATTCAGAATGCTTAGACCAGGACAAGCTGAGTGGAGATACAAAGGGGAGTGTTGCCTGTCAGTTCTGGTTTGCGGCAGTGTGTACCTGCTGGACTTGGGTAATCCCAGCCTTACTTGGTTATTCTGAGAAGAGATGCTTAGGGCAGGGGGAAGAATTCACGAGAATAGATCACAGGAGCCTGGATCATATATGCAGGAAGACAATGAGCTACACTGAAGACTCACACATGATTAGTTTTATGTCTGGCTATGGCCAAATCATAACTTTACAAGAGAACTGGAATATATAGCACAGTGTCAGTATTTGCAGTGTATGCCTTCCATGTATCTGAGTGTTAAGTGCTGCCTTTTCTAGTCTCACTGCTTCTGCTAATGTCACAACTTGTCTGCACACTTTGTCATGCTTGGGAGTTTGAATGGTAACTCCTGATCTTTGTAATCCTGCATCAGTGCAGCTCGTGCCTAGAAGATTCTTCTCTGATCCATCCTTTCCCCTCTGTACTGCTCTCTGACTTCTAGCCATGACTGTGTATTTTTCCTGTGCCTCCATTAATGTAGTGATCTATTCCTCATATTTCTCCAGTGGACATTGTGAGTCCTGCTCTTACTGACGATGAGTTTTTTCTTTGACCTTTCCTTTCTGGTTCACACTAAAATCCTCCAAGAAGTCACCAACATCCAGGGAGAGCACTTCACCTTCAGGTGGATGGTTCTTCTTGCTCCTTACTATACTGCCTGTCAGTCTTCAAGGGAACCTGTCCTGTGGCATCATCCTACACAACTCAAAGATAATGTCTTCAATGTTGAAAAACCCACCTGGAGTCCAGATCAAACCTTTTCCCTTCTAATATATCCTGTTTTTCTCTCCATCCCCCAGGGCAGACAACTGCACCACCTGTGGTGAACACCAGGCAGGGCAAAGTCCTGGGGAAGTTTGTCAGTGTAGAAGGAGTGGCACAGCCCGTGGCCGTCTTCCTCGGAATCCCCTTTGCCAAGCCCCCGCTGGGATCCCTGAGGTTTGCACCGCCAGAACCTGCAGAGTCATGGAGCTACGTGAAGAATACCACCTCCTATCCTCCCAGGTAAGTCTTACAAGGGGCTGGTGATGGCATCTTTCAGTGGAAGAGGTGGCTTCAGGATGATGTAGGGAGGGAAACCCTCGATTTGTTTCCATGGTTCATAAGGTCCCAAGAACATCATTTAATTTTCATGTCAATCTGAGTATTTTATTCATGATATATTTATTGAGCACCTATTTGTACCACACTTATTCTGAATTCTTCGGATCCACTGGTCAAAAAACAAAGATCTTTACCTTCATATAGCTTTCCTCTCACCAGTGGGGTAGAGATAGCCATACATTGTGCAAAGTCATACATGAGTCATGTAATATGTTAGTATGTCATGCTTTGGAAAAAGTTGAGCGAAAGAGAAAGATAAAAATAATTATCCTATCTAATTACCTGCCTTGAATGAACCTTAACACATTGCAGGATTGGGTGTGTGTCTAGAATCTAATTTTAAATAGAGAACATGAAATATTTATATGGGTGATTAAGGACCAATTTTTAAAATTCTTAAAAAAACAAATTTGGCCTGTATAATAGGCATAGTGTAACAATAATAAGATAATAACAATATTAAGGCTAATTCAGCCTTTCTTATAGTAATACTAGTAGAATTGAAGTATTTTTCTCCCAGTATTTTTTGCTAAGTAGATTTACCTCCTATAGGTACATTTTCCATCATGGGAGGCAGACATCACCTTGTTGATGTTATTCTGCCCTCTGATAACTGTGTCCGCTGGCTTTGAGTGCGTCACTTACCCCAGCTAATTCTGTGGACATTATGGGGTACCTGCCTCCCAGGGACTCTGGTATCAGTGAATGATGCTTATAAGAATCTTGGAAACACATGTGCCTTGTAACATGAGCCCGTTTAACTAGGTGTAGTCATTATCTCCGCAAATAGGCTGTGGTTCTCTGACAGAACCAATCATTTAAACCAAATGTAATCTGTGTTGATCTTTGAGATCTCTCATCAGACACACTACAGCCCTGCAGATCAGACATTTAGACCCTTTAAAAGAACCTCTCTTTCCTCACGTGAACATGGCAGATGCATTCTCAGATAAGATTGAGCCCCACTTGAGATCACACAGGAAATGAGTGGCTGTGCCTGGACAGATGTGCAGTTCTAAAGTGGTTCCAAAGATGTTACCTTCACCTTCTACCAATTCTACTGATTTGAGTCTGGAAATAGAGCTTTAAATATGAATTTGAACATCCTAGTCCAGAGTCTGCCTCAGCAAACATCTTGCTGAAATATGGTTATAACTCAATGATCTTGTCCTCCTCAGGTGTCCTCAAATCGCAACAGTCAATTTAGATTTTAATCCAGACATGAAGAATACTGCTCTTAATATGTCTGAAGACTGCCTTTACTTAAATGTTTACACTCCCAGCAACTTAGTTAAGAAAAGTAGGCTGCCGGTAAGCATGGGGGCCCCTAATCTTTAGGTCTCAACTTCTAGGATCACCTGTCGTGGAATGCAAGAGGATGAAGTCAGCTTGGACGGTGGCTTCATTGTCCAGGACTGATTCAGGGTTCCCAAGACTTGCTTTAATCAGAAGAAACATCACTTTTCCCATCACAGTTGTCCCCAGTGACATAGGGCCTCTGGTTAGTATATCTTTGATGCATGTTTAAATTCCCAATTCCTTCATGCCAATAAAAGGAACAAGAGCTGTTGTTCTTAGTTGATAATTTAAGAATCTGATGTTCAGAGCCGCAGACATAATTTCCAATTAATTTTGAGTTGAATCATAGAGAAGAGTTGATGACTCAACTCTTAGAAACTGAGTCCCAGAAATATAAAGTAGTTTACACAGCAACATTGTCAGGAGAAGAGCTGAGGATCTCTGAACTTCAAACCCATCATCTTAGTCATGGTCTTAGAATCAAGTCCCTGTATGACATTCTATCTACGTTCCAGTCACTGCATACAAAATCCAGCTATAGCAACTTTCATTGCTGCCTGACAGAGTTTGGAAAGTTATCAAAACAATCTATGAACCAGGTTTTTGTTTGTTTGTTTGCTTTTTCTTTTTACATTTTGTAGGTGGTCCAGTGTTTAGGATTTGCTTGTTTTATTGGAAAGTTGGATTTACAGAGAGAAGGAAAGACAGAGCGACAGATCTTTCATCCATTGGTTCACTCCCCAAGTGACTGCAGTGGCTGGAGCTGAGCTAATCTGAAGCCAGGAGCCAGGAGCTTCTTCCAGGTCTCCCACACAGGTGCAGGATCCCAAGGTTTTAGGCAGTCCTTGACTGCTTTCCCAGGCCACAATCAGGGAGGTGGATGGGAAGCAGGACCGCCGAGACAGGAACAGGTGCCCAAATGGCTTCTAGGTTACTGCACCTGGCCTGGAATATATGTTTCTTGAGGTCAGCTTTTATTGTACACACATTTAGGTCTCACCAAAGAATTTCCTCTAGTTAAGCTGAAAAAAAAAATAGTACTTCAATAATTCATGGAAATCTATTTTTAAAGATTTTTATTTGGGTACTAAAATTAAAATCATCATAGTTTTTCACAACATACATATTCCATGTGCTTCTTAAAAACTTAATAAAAGGTCTTTGTTCATGTATACGTTGAACTGGAAAAATATATGCATAGAAATGATTGGAATGTTGGGGAATACAGGAGACCTAGGTCTTTGCTGTTCTTATGATGATGTTTTCAGTTTAAGGAATTTTGGGTAGAGATGGCACTTGGGAACCAGTAGAAAGACAATATCACATGTTTGCCTTGGACAATCTGGAATAGTGTAAGAGGAGAAAGATGGCCTTTACAACTTTGTTAAGCCCCAGTGAATATTCTTGCATAACCTTCTTGACCAAGAGATAGATTATCAAGCCAGAAAACATTTAAATTCTTTGTTTGCTCTGCTTGTTATTTTTTTTAAAGATTTATTTTATTTTTATTGGAAAGGCGGATATACAGAGAGGAGAGACAGAGAAGAAGATCTTGTGTCCGATGATTCACTCCCCAAGTGAGCGCAACGGCCAATGCTATGCTGATCTGAAGCCAGGAGTCTTTTCCGGGTCTCCCACACGGGTGCAGGGTCCCAAAGCTTTGGGCCATCCTCGGCTGCTTTCCCAGTCCACAGGCAGGGAGCTGGATGGGGAGAGGGGCTGCGGGGATTAGAACTGGCTCCCATATGGGATCCCGGGTGTTCAAGGCGAGGACCTTAACCACTGTGCCCCCGCGCTGGGCCCCTGCTCTACTTGTTATAAACAGTATTTTTGCCTGCTCCCTCTGTAGGTTATGGTGTGGATCCATGGAGGTGTTTTGTTGATGGGTTCAGCATCAGAGTTTAGTGGGCTGGCCATGGCTGCACATGAAAATGTAGTGGTGGTGACCGTTCAGTACCGTCTGGGCATCTGGGGATTCTTCAGGTAAGTCGTTAGGCTCCCCTTTCGGAATAGACTCCAAGGCGAGAAAGCTTAGAGCAAGCCCTAGTCATGGGTGTCCTCAACAGAACCCTGTCTACACTCCTTAATGAGGAATGCAAATTCCTTCATGATTAGACTCCATCTGCCTACACTTCCCCTAGACACACTTGTTCCTGTGTTGTTTCCTCCACCTGGAACATTTAATATGCCTGACAAATTCTTATTTTCCTCTCATTGTCTGTTTTTAGTTCTAGATTCACTGTTTGTGCTCTGTGGTGTGAGCTCAGTGTGTTGAGTTTTGCCTATTTAGTTCTCAGGTGTTCTCTAGCTTACAGAGCACTTTGAGGCACACATAGCAGATTCTCAGTTCAGAGCTGTCAGATGTGTGAAGGCAGAGCTCAACCCAAAACCATGCTGTGGAAATAGGAGACAGAAGAAGATGCCTGTGTCAGTGATATGGAAAGCAGCCTTGTTCTGGAAGCCTGACTTGAGTTCTGGTCCACTGTGGTCCTGGGAACCCTGCCATAATATCTGTGCACCTCACCCTGTTGTCTTACAGCACAGGGGATGAACACAGCCGAGGGAACTGGGGTCACTGGGATCAGGTGGCTGCACTGCGCTGGGTCCGGAACAACATTGCCAACTTTGGAGGGAACCCAGGCTCTGTGACTGTTTTTGGAGAGTCAGCAGGTGCTCAAAGTGTGTCTGTTCTTGTAAGTCTCCCACGACCCCCAAGCACAATGTCTACTGTAGGAAATTTAGGAGACCAACCATATTGCTGTGCCCAAATTTATTTTCAATTCCTGCATTCAGGGATGACCCTGTTACTTGCACAGCATCAGATGCTGGAAAAGAACAAATGTTTTATAGCCCCCAGGAAGTACAGGATTCAGTGTCAGTCTCAGGGTACAGAGTATCCTGCAACCTGTGGCAGGCTCATTCCTCCCTTCCTTCCTCAGCTGAGTTCTCTCTTGTTTCTGATAACGTTATGGTTGACCTCTTGGAAAGCAGGTATGAATAAAGGAAAGTGGGGTGCAGAATTGGTTGAAATCCCCTTATCCGGCTTGGGAGCCTGTCTACAAGGTGTGATCAACAAGAGGAGAATGGGGCTTCCTCTGAGCAGCTCTGACAGTTTCCATGCTTGAGACAAAGGTCAGCTATCTGTGAAAATGAGGTGGATGGAAAGGTTAGGGGAAGGAGAAAAGATGGAATGTGGACAGGGAGGAATAGGACGGGTGAGGTGGGCCACAGATATAACCTGGGCAAGCCAGGTCTTCTTGTGTAGAGAATGGTTGGGGAGACACTAAAGGATGTTTTAGAAAGTGCTGAGCCTTAGGAAACCCTCCAGTTGAGCCAGACTTAAACAGAGTGTTCAAACTGCTAGTGTAATTTTAAGACATGTCTTGACTTTAGAATTGAATGCTTGAAAATGTTTTTACATGTAAATGTTGAAAATGGGAAGAACTTGTATAATTCCAATGAAGAGAAATATCACCAATAATACCAATTCTAGGATAGTTATGTCAGTATTTTGCACATATTTTCTGCTACTTTTTCCATGATTGTCTAGCTATTTTCAGTACCTTTATATGTCTAACGACTATCTATCATTTTGGCTGTCATTTGTATTTGTCCATAATACTTATCATCTATTATATCTACCCATCATCTATCTACAGCTATCTCTAACATTTAGTTACTATAAAAAGTATTATTATGTATTTCTACAAGCATTAAAATACATATACATCATATGTTCTTTGTTATTGGCAATATTCTGAAGCCAAAATGAAAACTTGTTCTTTCACCCAGTTTCCTAATATTAGAAATCTGGGCTGTCTCCAATTTTCACTTTCAGTAACAACATGAGCGCTCTTGGAAGTCTTAAGAATTATTTATTCTTATTGGAAAGTCAGAATTACAAAGAGAAGGAGAAGAGAGAAAGATCTTCCACCCATTGGTTCACTCCCTTATGTGGCCTCAATGACTGGAGATGAACTGATCCAAAGCCAGGAGCCAGGAGTTTCTCCCAGGTCTCTCACGTGGGTGCAGGTTTCCAAGACTTGGCGCCATCCTCCAGTGCTTTCCCAGGCCACAGGCAGGGAGCTGGATGGGAAGTGGGGCAGCTGAGACAGGAAACAGTGCCCATATGGGATCCTGGCACATGGAGAGTGAGGACTTTAGCCACTAGGCTACTGTGCCAGGTCCTCTATGATTTGTATTTTGTAGAAAATTCCTCATAATAGGAGTAGTGGTTCAGACTGGGTGGCTAGAATTGCCAGGCTGTATTTTCTGACTGCTGTGCTCTGTTTTGTCTCTTGCTCTTTGTTTTGGTTTTATCATGCTCAGGTTCTTTTGGAGAAGCCAGGTCCAGGGGAAGCTTGGCACAATGGGCCAGGCCAGGCAAGAATCATTGCATCCACAGATCCCCAGGGTGTGCAGGAAAGTTGCCAGGCAGAGCAGCGTGTTGAGGAAGCCTTGACGAGATGCGTGCTGGTGACCCTCTCCCCAGGAGCATGATCTCTCCTCCTCTCTATTCCCCTTTCAGGTTTTATCACCTCTGGCCAAGAACCTCTTCCGTCGAGCCATTTCAGAGAGTGGTGTGGCGCTTATCCCTGGCATCTTCAGTAGGAACCCAAAGCCTTTGGCCGAGGTAGGTCTCACCTTGGACAGCTGCTGCCCCCTTTTCTCTGCTGTCCTGATTCATCAGGGTTCTTTCATACTCGGGGATCCACCTGAGGTCCTGGAAGCATCACTGAGTGAAAAGGACACCTGAGGTCCTGGAAGCATCGCTGAGTGAAAAGGACAAGGAGACACCTCACCCAGCCTAATAATTAGATAATCAAGCAAATCTGAGAAGAGCACAGAAGCAGTTTCACAAAGTCAGCAAAAGAGCAGGGGCAGCCTGCAACTTCTGGTTGCGGTTGCCACTCTGAGCTGTAGTGCTGTGCACTGCCCACTGTCTACTTTTTTGCAAGTGTGCCAGGCTAGAGTGCTGGGTGGGTGGTGGACAGTGACTGTGATTGTGGCTCAGAATCTGAGACCTGGAGGATGCACTTCTAGGATGAACAGGAACATTCTTGTTTCTCCCTGAGTGTCTGTGACTGTGATTAGGTCCTGGCTCATTCATTTATTGATCATTTATTTAACAAGTATTCTTTTTTACTTTCCCATAAAATGTATGAATTACAAGGGAACATAGAGTAGTTTTTAACTATTGTTTTTTTCACATAGACTTTGGTTATGTGCTATAAAAGTCCATTTTATAATGTTACACATAAAAGCATAAAGACAGTATAGGAAAGGTACAATTTCAAGGTGAAGAACAGATCAGTGTTTGTTCAGTGTCAGGATCATAGCATGGAATTAATGACCAAGGGGGAACGTGAACAATGTGCTGGAGTGATGTGACTGCTATTTGTACGTTATTTACTCACTTTCTTTTCATACTTAATTTTTTTAGTCAACAAAGTAGTTGACCAATGATGTTTAAATATACTTGGAAATGCAGATTATGAAATGGCCATGTTAGAATTTTAAAATATATAAATGTATTTATTTATTTATTTTACCAAAATGAGAGTATCTTCTCATTTTTTCATGAACCCTTTGGGTACATATTCATTCTCTAATTATTTGAGAGACCTGTTGCAAGAAGCCTGTTGTTAGTTTTTGAAAAAATGCTTATATGTGAATGTTTAAGTTTAGAATTCTCTTTTTGTCTTGTACTTTGACAGTTTCAGTGCAGTGTGCTTTGGAGGAAACAATCCAGATGCTCACCCTATTATCCCCTGTGTTTTCCACTTTTGTGGACTCCACAAAGTAGTCAGGCTATTCACTTAAGCATTCTGTGCTTAGATAACAAGAGTGCTGATGTGATTAGCTCTCCACTTCAGTCAGTTCCACTTAGGACAGAGACTCAGGGTTGCAGTGCTGCTTAAATACTGTCCTAACAAGTGTGGCCTGTAAGAGAAGTCAGGGCAGGAGGCAACTGAGCAGATCCACTTCAAGGCCAGATGGAGAGAGAGGTGGGGTGGGGTGGGAGGGTGACTCTTTGATCTGTTAGTTCACTCCCAAAAGGCCGATCTAAGCTGCAAACAGGATCCTGAAAGCCATTCTTCTCCCATACATGATTGGGAAGAGCCCAAGTCCTTGGTCATGGGTACATTGGCTAGCTGGGTGCTGGGTGGCTGCAGATTAGCTGCGACATGAACACCCTGATATAGGATTAACCATTACAGGTGGTAGCTTTCCAGTTTAACCACAAAATTGACCTGTGTGCATTCTTTAAGAGAGAAAAAGAGACTATATGGATAACTAGGGTCCTAAATGTCTTGCCATAGAACTATGACTAAATCTGTCCCAATTTATATGATGTTTGGCTCTAATAATGTGTTATTTTTCATTTGTAAATGACTGAGTAAATAAATCCAGGTAATAATAGTCTTTCATGAGCTGCATTAGTGACACTGAATGCCAATTTCAATGTCTTAAATGAAGCTTTATACAGAAATACTCATTCATTTATTTGTTGCTCATGACTGCTTTTCCTAACCATAGCAGAGTGAGAGTAAATATAATGGAGACCATAAACACCAAATATTTATTGCTGACCAACAATACTGCTTGCTAACCCTTACCCTAAATAGAGGTTATATTAAGCTTTTGGCTCCCAGGCATGAATTTGAAGGTGGAAACTTGCAGCTTTGACACAAACACCTCACTCAACTGAAAACCATCAAGGATGCATTGAGATGCCCATCAGGCCACTTCTTTAGGGGTCATACCTCCATCATAACCTGTACTTTCCCAGGTTTCTTTGTGTCAGTCATGGTACCTAGGCTTCCTGCATGTAAAGCAATTCTGCTGTCTTAGTATGCAGGACACCAGTGCCCTCCTGCTGACTTTACATGTACCATTCCATCTTACAAGACAAGTACAGTCATTCCCCACTACGACCTATGATGAAGAAATCTGAAACACAAGGAATGTAGTAGCCTGAGACCAACAGCTACTAGATGCAGGAGGCAGGACATGAAAACAAAGTGGAGTTCAGGATTCTGCATTTTTTACTCCATTTCCACACTGTCTCTCTTGAGATATTCAACACTGGGATCATTATTCTTGTGTTAAAAGGATCCAGGCATTATTGAGATACAGAGAATGTATATTTTGTTCCTCTCTCAATTCAAATTTGTAACAGAGGCAACACCGTGTGAAACATGAACCCATCTCTGCTGGGACAGAGTATTTCTGCTGCCTTTGGAGGTTGGGATTAGGCTAGGACACCTCTGTGTGTATTCATGTAAAGAGAGGACAATGATGCTGAACTCTGTTCTTCATGATCTCTACAGAAAATTGCTGTCACAGCTGGGTGTTCTACCACCACCTCAGCTGTCATGGTTCACTGCCTGCGCCAGAAGACAGAGGAGGAACTCCTGGAAGTAACACGGGAAATGGTAGGTCTTTCCCTCCCAGTGGCCCCACCCTGTGTACTGGACCTCACAGATCATCATTTCAACTGTCCTCTTGCCCTGGAGACACTAGATGGGACATTTCTTCATCTCCCAGGAGGAGTGTCAGACCCTCAATCTGAAAGTGGAATTTCAGTTTCCCTTTTTTATTGTTAAATAATTCAAATGTAAAAATTTCCGCAATATCATGATTAAAATTGTTTAATAATCACTATTCAAAGTATTGTGAAATACTTCACATGTCAAAAAAGTTAAGGTAACGTTGAAATAAGAAAGTGGATAATATTCCCTCATCTTTATAAAATCCTAGAATTTTGCCATTCTTGTATTCAGGTATGTTTTAAATGAATTACCCATTCCATATTCCAAAAGTAACCACCATCCTGCATTTAGATGATTGTGTTGTTGGGCACATAGATTTTTAGAAATGTGCTACAATTTAAGTTGAATGATTAGAAGACATCTAAAGTATAACACTATAGAGATTCAATTTTCTAGACTTCTCTGACGCTACTTCAATTATGATTTTAGGAGAAATTCAGTGTTTTTGATATAGTTTGAGTTTCCCCCCAAAAGTACACATTCCAGGTGATGGTGTTGAGAGACTGTAAAATTTGTTAGAGGAGAGTCCCAGTGGAAGGTCCCAAAGCAGTGGAGCAATGGTCAGCAGGTTGGACTAACGTATCATTTGAGGTACAGTTGAACACTGAAGTACTCATCAGGACAAATGCTCAGAGAACAAAATATTCAGGGCTAATCAGGATTATTCTGTATGCACAAGAAGGTGTTCATTTAGGCTCAGGCTGATCCTAAAATCTGTATTTGGTCTCTGGATATCTGCAGATACCCAAAACCCTCAGGATAGGTCTCTATCATGGTGCTATGTCCCTGGGTTGTGTCCAGTGTAGTCCTGTGCTTGAGCACAATTTGTTGGACTCCAATAAGGTGACCAACATGCTAAAAGAATTAAATACTCTTTTCTAATACATTGAAATAGGCAACTATTTTCTCAATTGTCTAAATATAAAAAGAGGACATAGATTTATAGGAAAATCTTGGTGACTTTATGGCAAATCAGAGAAATCAGACATCCCAAGACAATCTTCTGAGGTTTTCTTTCTAAATTTTTATTGAAGTACTTTCATGATTTACACACACACACACACACACACACACACACACACACACACACACACACACACACCTGGGTAATGGGGCTATGATACACAAAACAGGGTCCTTACTGGTCACTTCTTACGTTCAGGGAAGACTGCTGAGTGCAGTGTAACTTTGACATCACGGAAATAATGTTGACCACAAATCAATGACAAGTTTTGCATGGTGTGTGCTTTAGAGGGGCTGCATGTGCAGCACTTTCTAATTCAAGATGAAAAAAATCAACTCAAGGTGACATGAACAGAAAAAGGAGTATGTTAGAATCTACAGGTAGTATAAATTCAAGGGGTTGATGTTTGAACATGGCTGGATCCAGATGTGTCTGTTGTTAAATATCAGAATATTATTAAGTTCATCTTTGCACTCCTGATGTTTGAAATCCATTTCAGGTAGATTTGTCCCCTGGGGAGATTAAACACAACAACAGTGTGGATGCATGTTAGCTATGCAGAAGTACTGCTCCCAATCAGTATAGTAAATGTTCTGAGGTAAGCACTTTTGGACTGACACAGTCATGTTCCCACCCTTGAAATAAGCTCTGTTTAGCATCAGAGGTGTTTAAGGCACATGTAAGTGTCTGAAGACCACGCAACTAGGATGTTTAGTTGAGAATCGTAGGGGGAAGAAATGTAGGTTAGGCAGGCACAGCAAGGTGATGACCTCTCCCTGTTACCTGTGACTGAGAACTATTACCATGGCCTGTCTTTCCTTTCTGGTGCCTGCCTCTCGCACATCCCATGCTCAGGTGTAGAAGAACCTGTGTCCTGTCTGATTGCTCTCAACCAGACAAGGAGGCATAGGGAGAGAGCACTTGATTCTTCATGTGTGCAGTGTACATGGTCATCTTTCCCCCAGGAAGCCTTCTTACCACATCCTCTGCCTTTGTCTTCACAGAAATTCTTCGTTGTGGATTTTGATGGAGATCCTACAGAGGTAGGAGCCTTCTACTTTTTGTTTCAGGTTGTGGGTCTTGCCATCTTTAACCTCTGATCTCATCCCTGTTGATGAAAATCCACCTTGGTGGAATTAGTCATGTCTTTTGTGCATGTTGCTGAAGCACAGGATGGGTAGTGACTTGTCTGGTAACACAGGCAGGAAAACCAATGGCCAGAATGGAATCTGTTCCCTTTATTCTCAGCCTACTGCTCCCAGGCACTAACTCTGTGTCCTCTGGGCTCAGTCATTCTCTCCACCCAACACACACTTTCTGATTCCTATGATGGTTCCATGTTGGATGCTGAGGTGACACCTTCCATTTTTAGGAGAAGGAGATGCTAAGATGTTTCTTCAGGGACCTGTATTGAGTTGGATGGAGATTGATGTATTATGCTAGTAGACAGCCTCCAGAAGTGCTCAGACTCCAAGCACTGGTGGTCACTTCAAAGCTAATCATAATCTAAGGAGACAGCACCCAATGCTTGGATTAGTGCAGTGCAGGGAACTCAATGTGTAATCTCTTGTCATCTGCCCCTTCCCTATAGTCTGTTTCCTGGAGCAGCAAAGGTGTCTTTGAAAGTCCTAAGATCATGTTGGTCCTGCAGACACCACCTTCCTCCTAGCACCCGGGGGCTCTAATAACATCCTGATGAACTCTTATTTCATCCCCTCTTATATGCTCATGACTTGCCAGATTCTGGTGACATTGGCTCAGAAACATCTCTACCATCTTGTCCTGTTTTATATCAACCTGTATACCACACCAGTTTGCTGAATAGCCTTATAAGGGTTAAGTAAGATTCAATCAATCATTCAGCAAGGTTAAACCAAGCAATTATTCGGTGCATTGTTTAAAAAGTTACTTTGGACCCTGCATCCCCTATCAGAGTGCCTGGTTTCAAGTCCTAGATTTGCTTCTGATTTTGGATTCCTCTAATGTGTACCTTGGGTGGCAGCAGGTCATAGTTCAAGTACTTGGGATCTCTACCACCACCTTGAAGACCTAGATTAAGGCCCAGGCTCCCAATTTTGTCCTGACCTAACTAATCCTGTATGTGGTAAGCATTTTGGTAATGATCTGTTTGGTAAAAGATCTCTTTATCTCTCTGGGTCCATCTCCTTCCTCAGACTTTCTAACCTTAAATAAAATGAAAATGAATGAAAATATTTTTTTTAATTTTTGGAAAATAAAATGAAAAAGTGTGTTTTTTATATAAAAAACTTAAAATAATTTGCCTAGATTTTCTAATACATATGAAATACTCATGAATGTTGTAGCTACAACTAATCTATATTCATGCTTTAGATTGAACTGTATATCTCAGGGCTCAGGGCTGAAATTATGGCACACAGTGTTAAGCTACTGCCTGCAATGCCAGCATTCTGTATGAGCCCCAGTTTATGTACTGGCTCTTACGCCTGGATCCAACTGCCTACCAATGCACCTGTGAAAGCAGCAGGAGATGAACCAAGTACCTAGACCCCTGCAACTCATGTGGTATACCCAGATGGAGTTATAGTTCCTGACTGTCCCTGGACATTGCTGCCATCTGGAAAGTGAAACAGTGAATGGAGGATATCTTTGTTTCTCTCTGTTCTCTCAATTTCTCTTAATCTCTGTATTGCCTCTTATTTGTAACTATGACTTTCAAATAAGACAAGTAAAACCTATACAAAAGAAATATGTTTAAAATATAAACAAATATATTTATAGGTGTAAGCATATAAGCATATTATATATATATATATATATATGTGGGTGTTTGTGTGTGTGTGTGTGTGTGTGTGTGTGTGTGTGTATTCAAATGAAGATCACTCCCATCGATCACAATGGATCAGAAGACACTGGATTATACCAAGGATGACTAAATATGTTCACAGAATGTGGAATGCAGACCAATTGCTATTAGAGACTTATTCATCTTTGGTTCAACCCAGTCCTTCAGATCCATTGTGATGACCTTAATTTCAGATCAAAAAAGAGGGTGGCATGGGGGTTACATGGGAAGGTAGAATCAAAGACATTGTGCTGCTCTCTTTTCAGAGCTACATCTTCATGACCACAGTTGTTGATGGGGTGCTGCTGCCAAAAGCTCCTGAAGAGATTCTGGCAGAAAAGAAATTCAACAAGGTCCCCTACATCGTGGGATTCAACAAGCAAGAGTTTGGCTGGAATCTTCCATCAGTGAGTTCATGCAGGTCACTTGAAAGGACTGAGCCTCCCACTTATCACTCCTCCACCCCTTCTCCAAACACTCTTAAATCTAGAGAAGCTGTCCCATTCTGAACTAGTGTGTTTCTGTGGAAATCTCTATGGTGGAGCAACTGTTCCCTTAAGGGTATCTTCCTGGTTACTTCACAGCGAAAACACTCCTCAAATGTCATTCAGTTTAGGAATCCCAAAATGTTAAGGCTGGGAGATCTACAGAGGTAATCATTGTGGGAAGGGTAAACTGAATGGGAAGGAAGGAGCTCCAGAGTGAGGTCCAGTGGCCTCTCACCTTGGTTGATACTCACAGGTGCCCCAAGGTCTCCACAACGTGTTCTTCCCACCTCTTTGGAGACTAGAGAATGGTGCTTCCTCTTGAGTTAAAGTTGACTTCAAGAAGGAAGAGGGCCTTTCTGCCTGTTCAAGACTTTTGAATGTTAGCTACTCATTAAAACATAAAGACAGATGTTATTCACTAAACCACTGCAATAGGGAAAAGAATTTATGTTGAACTGAGCTCAGATTCCTCAAACCATAGGCTGGAGAAGGGCACGCCTGGCCTGGACTAAGAGGAAATCGCAGTGGTGTGGGTTTTGAGGCATGGTTTGTATGTGTATCTAGACCACTTGTGTTTGTTAATGCATTCTATCCTGGAGAAGAAAACAGGATGCAGTGGTTTAAGCTGAGTTAAGGCACCCACTGAGGATGTGCAATTTCTTTCCACAGTGACCTGGAGACCAGGTCTTAGGAAATGAAGAATGTTTGCAATTGAAAGATTTTAAAAGAAGTTGTGGAAACTTTAATGTAGATTGAAGTGTGAGTCACGGAAGTTCTGCCCAAGAAAGAGTTAACACACTTATGTGAGATTTGTTTCTGTGAGACAAAGTAATAAAAAAAATAGTTGGTCCTTATTGATCAAGGTATCTCTCACTGTCTCAGATGCTCTCATTGTGATATCAAATGCCATGTTGTGATGTAGCCCAAAGTACACATGAGAGCTGGGCATGTCTTAGCAGGCATGCTAATGCAGTAAATGTCTTTTTGTTTATAAAATATGCAGCCTCAAGTTGGGTGATGTAGCCTAGCAAGCTAATCATCTGTTTGTATTGCTGGCATCCCATAGGGGTACGTATTCATATCCTAGTTGCTCCACTTCTGATTCAGTTTGCTGCCAGTGGCCTGAGAAATTAGTGGAGAATGATTCAAGTCCTCCAGTTCATGAACTCATGTGGGAGAACCAGAGGAAGCTCCTGGTTCCCAGCTTCAAATTGGCTCAGATCCGACTCTGGCAGCCACTTACAGAATAAGCCAGTGGATGGAGCATTTCTCTCTTTGTCCATCCCACTTTCTCAATGATTCTGACTTTCAAGTAGAATAAATAAATCTAAATAAATGTGTTAAAAATATACCATTGATGCCTCTTTATAGCAACAGAAAATTAGAGGAGTCTGTCTGCCTTTACAAGGTTTATCAGGAACAAATAGTAAATTCACCTGATGGCACCATTTTTTTAAACTTATTTATGCATACATTAGAGTTACACAGAGAGGACGACAGGGACAAATGTGGAGATTTTCCATCTGCTAATTTACTCTGCAAACGGCCACAACAGCCATCACTGTACTATGTTGAGGCCAGAAGATGGGAGCTTCTTCCAGGTATCCCACATGGGCACAGTGATCCAAGTATGTAGACCATCTTCTGCTGCTTGTTTTAGAGAGCTGGGTCAGAAGCAGAGCAAACTGGCCACCCACCAGTGTGCAATAAAGGATACTGGTGTTACAGACACCATATGCCAAGTTGTCACCACTCAGATATTTTTGTTAAAAGTGGCTAAGCCACCCTGGAGCCTTAGCTTTTAGCTTCTAGAAGCACTGTTACAGTTAGCTCATACCAAGTTTCTGACTGCAGAGGTCTGGGCAGGGTCATTGATACTGACAGTCACCATCCCCTCCCCAAATAAAAGATACTGAGAGTCTTATAGTTCACTCTCTAGGATTTCCTCAGTTATGCTGAGTGCATTGGGCTTGCTTTGGGTCAGGCAGTTTGTTATTTCTTATTACTTCATAGTCAATTATAATGTATAATTATTTTTTTAAATAGGGATTGGGCTATCCACTTTCTGAAGAGGGGCTCGACCAAGACACAGCGACAGAACTCTTGTGGAAATCCTACCCCGTTGTGGTAAGAGTCTGGAAAATCAAGAGAATTTTTTCTGATTCAAACGAGAGCAGTGAGCTTTCCCTGAATCACAAGTTAATTAAATGGCAACAAAATCAAACCCATAAGGACTCAAACATTCGGTCTGTTTTTCTGCCTTCTCCACGTTGTTGCCTCTCCCCTGCAGAGAATGTGCAGAGAGCTGTAGAGATTCACCACTGTCTGTATCTACTGCCTTAATCAGAAGGATGGGCCATGGTGTTCACTCTTTTGACTTGTTTCAGAACATCTCTAAAGAACTGATTCCGATGGCCATTGAAAAATACTTGGGAGGAACAGATGATCCTGTGCAAAAGAAGGGCTTGTTCATGGACATGATGGGAGACTTGTTATTTTGTGTCCCATCTGTGGTTGTGGCTCGTTATCACAGAGGTGAGTCCCAGAGATTTGATGGAAGAGGAATGCTAACCCATAGGCTACCTGTCAGCGTAGACTGATGTGTAAACTGGTGATGGTGAAGCTTGAAAGATATCTAAAGTAAGCTAAATGCATTTGGATCCTTTCCTTGAGTCAGCTACTCACAGAACCTGTAAGGAACAATGCATCACCTCAGACGTTATAGAATCAGTCTTTCAAGCCTCACCATCACCAGTTTGCTAGTGACTGGAAGTAGAGGAAGAAGGGGAGCCAAGTCCAGGACTAGGCAGGCTGTACAGGGTCAAGAAGGCCACAGGTAGTGGCAGCAGCGTGTGTAGGGAAGAAGAAGCTGGGTATTGCCAGTGCATGTTGCTGGCTTTTGTCTATCCTGAAGTGAGCCAGTGTAGGTAAGCTGATTACAAGACAAACTCTGCTGTGCTACCTTCCCATATCGACCCATGCTGGTGGGCAAGGTGGGAATTTAATGGTGCATGAGCTTACCTGGGTCAGGTTTCCCATTCTGAGTGGTGTTTGGGTGTAGTCAAAGGTCACAGGATTCTTCTACTGGAACCCTTTCATCTTTCTCTTAAGCAGAGTATAGGTCCCTCCTGCAGGACTTTCTTTTCACTCCATGCTGGGAAGGTTTTACATTCAAGACTTTATAAAATGTAAATTTAAAAAAACCTAAATAAATTGGATGGAGCATGTGCTATTAATACTCCCTTGGTGCATTAATCTAGGCTCTAACTGTACGTTGCTACTTAAGGCCCTTATGAAACCCTGTAGCCAGGAGCAGCCTGTGGCCAAGTTGGTTCTATACACTGATTGTATCTCCTGTGGCATGTCTTGCCAATATGATGCCAGCAGCATGTGCTGCTATTTCAACAATATTGAACTTCTGCTTTGTATCTTATGTGTCATGGTTTTTGATTTAGAGCCTTTGTGCCAAGAGTGCATAGATTTATTCTTAAAAATTTTTTTCATTCTTTTTTGATCAAAACCTTTCAAACTATGGAATTCATAACTTACCACTTTAGAAATTTGCTAAATTTGGAGATTACAAAGAAGAAACAATGTATTATTTGTACTCAGAAATATTTGCCATATAATTTTCTGGTTTTCTTCTTATCATTTTCTGTGCCATTTATAATTTAAAATCAATTTTAGATTATGGTTTTGTTAAAAGTACTGAGATTTTCTTAATACCAATAGAAATCCATCAAAAAGCATCTATGTTTCCACAGATCAATGAGTTACAATTTAGTCATTCGAGCCTGTTGGATAAATTGTCTGGCTACTTGAACCTTGATGCTATGAATAACATCATAGCCTTATTTGCATGAATCTTTGAGCAGAACATGGTACATTTGTATGCTTGTGTCCGGAGAGTATATTCTCAGTAATTCATAAACAATGGAAATGTATATGTATTCTTTTGTGTTTCGAGCCTAGAAAGTCAAGTATCAGGGAGCTATCATCTAGGGAGGATCTTCAGCTATCTTGTCTTGTGGTAGAAGGAGGAAGAGGCTGAAGAACTCAGGAGGGTATGCGGGAGGGAGGTAGGAGAGAAGAGTAAAGCAGTTAGAGGTGGTGGGAGAAGCACAAGAAGCAGTTACTGTAGGGATGATTTTATGAATCTCAATGAATTGCAAACATTTTCAAAAGCATCCTATGGTCATTACACTTTCTATAGTACATTTTTACATTCACACAAGGTCTCTCATCCATGATTGGTTTCTGAATTCTTTTGCTGAAACAGCAAAGGACAGAGACAGGTTAAGGTAAGTTCTGCTTGATCTTGAATTTACGGTTTAAGCAGAATCTTCGAGGGCCTCAGCACACTTGTTCCAAACAACACTCATTGCTAAACCAAAGCTGCTGTGGCACAGGCTAAGAGAGATTAGATAAGTCATTCCACATCCTCATGTGGGAATATCACACTCATAATTGTGATCTCTTTTATGGATGACCATTTATTAATGTGGAATATTGTTATAGTCTATGATAAAGAAGCTATATAACACTACCTAAATTTTAAATACATGAAAAGGCTATATTACTAAAACATAATAAACAGATTTGTGTGATGGAATAATGAGCAATGTACATATGTGTTATTGTTTTTGAAGTACTTTCCAATTTTATGTTGGGTCCAGGTGGGTGGCAGGGATTGTAAGACTTCTCTGACAGCCTCACTTGGGCTGTCTTCCAGATTGTCATCTCTGTAGATGTAACAATCAGTACAAAGAACCAAAGATGGACAGTTTATGACTTATTCCAGAAGAGACAGGGGTTGGCAGCTCCAACGGAAGGAACACTGAGAGGAGAGATTTGGTGACGAGAGAGGAAGAGAGTGAGGAAGAGAAGAAAGCCAAGATTTTTTCCCCCAGACTATTTTGTTTTCTGCCAGCACTGTGTCATGTTGATCCCCAAGACAAGTGGAAAGCAAGATATACAAGGTCATACACATATTGGAATGTTAATTTTGGCAGTTTCCTGAGATATAAAAGAAAGGTTTTGTATTCTCTATATTTGTGTTTAAATGTCCTGGCTTGTATAACTTGTATTGCATCACTATTCTCAAAACAGGAACAGAAACACCAGAAATACCAATCTTAGGCTGTGCAGATATCTTTGAGGTTCTAGATATTCTCAAAATGAATAACAATAATCAGTTATTAATGAGATAAACTAATGCGAACTGGATGTAAAGACATTTTTTATTTTGTGACTACAACAGCAGAGGGGTTTATATGAACTTGAAACACATGTAATGAGAATCATATAAATGCATTGCCCCATGTTTTCACTACTCATTTCTTCATTCAATTCATATTATCCTCATATTCCCCTACTGCATGAACTAGCTATACAGATTTAAATGAGTCACCTCCATTTCATGAACCACTTTCTCTAATATGGCCATTCTCAGGAGATTTCTGCAAAAATGGAAACCAGGGCAACTTCCAGGTGTGCATTTGATAATGTGAATTGCATTTCAATCTGTCTTCTCAGATGCTGGAGCACCCACCTACATGTATGAGTTTGGGTATCGTCCGAGCTTCTCACCAAGTTTGAGACCTTCGACAGTTATTGGGGATCACGCAGATGAACTTTTTTCTGTCTTTGGGATTCCACTTCTTACAGGTAATGTTCTTGGTTTCCTTAGAGCTTGGAGTAGGAGGTCTGGGTTCCAATCTTTGGTGACTCTGAGGAAGTTGCTCTCCTCATTTTAAATTTATTATGACAGGATTGAACCACTCTTGGGAATCCTCAAGCTTCCCCCTACTCTAACACACATGAGGGAAACATCTGTTCATTTACTTTCAGTCAGCATCATTCTCAGAGTCCCAGCTTGAGACATGAGGAAGATGTGTGGTGTGCCTCTTGTATAACCTTGCTCTTTGGGGAGAAAGCCTGTATTTCTATCCACAGGAGCATATTAGAATAGGAGTGAGGGTAATCCAGTACAGTCACAGAGGTCTAGTCAGTGCACACACATACCCCTCTCCTCCTGTCTCACTGATGTAAAACACTCTTTGAAATAATATAATATTTAAGGAAAACCTTTAGGAAGTGTCTTCTGTGCATCAGTTGTCAACAGTTACATTTGAACCCTGCAGCTCAGTTAATTTTAAGATTTTAGGAGTGTGAAATTCATAGGAAACAAAGAAAGAGTGCATCCTGGACTTAGAGTTATTGAAGTGGAATCAAAGGGTTCACACCTACACCGAGGAGGAGGGACAGGTGTTCAGTCATGGATGACAATGACAGCAAGGTTGTGTGACAACTACATGCACTCTTTTGAGACTTAGCTCAGCCATTCTCAAAATGAAACTCCACACCAATTAACCAGAATCTTCAGAAAATGTATATGATGATGCAGTAGATGTGGAATAAGGGCCCAGCCTGTATTTCTAACAAGCTCCCAAATAATACTGATGCTTCAATCTGTGGACTACAGTTGGTGTTGCAAATGATTTTCTCCTTCTCCACAGAGGGTGTGTCAGAAGAGGAACTCCAACTGAGCAAGAGGATGATGAAATTCTGGGCCAACTTTGCTCGAAATGGGTAAGGCTGGTGGAGTAGAAATGGATCTATTGGGCAGTTTGAGTGATCCAGCTCCAGAGGTGTTGACCAAAGTGCCTGACACCAAGAGTTCTCTGAAACAGCAGCCTAAGGGGATGGTGAGCAAGCTACCTCTAAGGATTAAGAGCCTGTTATGAGAGATAACCTTGTTGTGTCCAGAATTTATGCCCAACCGTGAACAGACAACCTCCACATGCAGCAATGCAAAAGCAGAGACTTTATTGCTAGCTAGGGCTGGGGTCCGAATCTCATCCCAAACAGCGGAGTCTTGACAAGGGACCCTGCCCACATATCTTACTCAGTTTATACAGGATTTTAGTTACATAATGCTAAATTCCAAGAATAGATTATAAATTCTATGAACAGACACAGGTAGGATTGTGATTGACCTACCTATATTGCTCCTGACAACCTGTTGACCAGGGACTTTCTAGGTCTCTTCTGATTGGTCGGCTCTACCTAGGGTTGGTGGCAACCCACTTCAGAGAAGTTGGTGCGTCATTTCTAGGAAACTGAAACGTAGGCCTAGGCTATCCCAAGGCCTGTAATGGCTTTACCTTTGCTCTCTGTGCGGCAAGCTAAGCACTTATTACAGAAGTCTAAATCAGCAGTTAAATCAATAAACTCTACTTAAAATGGATTAACAATGCTCTAGCCCTACAACCCATGGTGGGTTCCTGTTTTCTCAGAGGTTTTCTGTGACCCTTCATCATTTGGAGGAATTTCTGTTTGATTCTGTTCCCAGGAACCCCAATGGGAAGGGGCTTCCTCAGTGGCCAAAGTACGACCGCCAGGAAGGATACCTGCAGTTCGGAGCCTCCACCCAGGCAGGCCAGAAGCTGAAAGACGAGGAAGTGGCTTTCTGGACTGAGCTCCTTGCTAGAAGGCCGTGAGATCACACCAGACAGAAAGCACTGAGCCAAAAATCGGAAGAGAAGTCAGCCTCAACACAGGAGGAGTCACGGCAGGCATGTTTTACTGGAGATTTATTTACGCACTGAGTTGTCTTATGGTTGAAACTGGGAAATTGTCTGGTGGGGGTGAGCAGATCAGGAAATGGAAAATAGATGCTCTGGGTCTCAACTTTAGAATAAAGCATTTTTGGAAGATCATACAAGTGTGTGCATCTTCTGAAAATGAGTCCATCTTCCTCAGAAATTGGATGTAGGAAAAAAAGTAGTAGGAATGTGACCTTCTGGGGGTGTGCAGGCCTTGGGGTGAACAGAGTCTAGAACACTGGGCTGTGGAGTTCCAAGGTAGACTCTGGGTCTACCCCATCCTTCTCGGTCCTCACAACTTCCAGCAACAGGATCTGGTGTGAACGGAGTACAGTGTCCCTCCCCCAGTTTGGAGCTACCTTTGAAGAGGGAAGTGGCATACACTGAGAACCAAGCTGCAAAATGAAAAAAACAAACAAACAAACAAAAAAAAACTCCATGGTGATCTTGTGGCAATATTGCATGGTCTCTACTGACACAGCCACTTAATACCTTCAACTGCACAGCAGCTCTTTAGGCCCCTTATAGGGGCTGTGTCTTCTGACAGTTTTTTTTTTTTTAAAGATTTATTTATTTATTGGAAAGTCAGATATACAGAGAGGAGGAGAGACAGAGAGGAAGATCTTCTGTCCGATGATTCACTCCCCAAGTGAGCACAATGACAGATGCTATGCCGATCCAAAGCCAGGATCCAGGAACTTCTTCCAGGTCTCCCACGCGGGTGCAGGATGCCAAAGCTTTGGGCTGTCCTCGACTGCTTTCCCAGGCCACAAGGAGCTGCAGGGATTAGAACTGGTGCCCATATGGGATCCCAGTGCGTTCAAGACGAGGGCTTTAGCCACTAGGTCACGCCACCAGGCCCTTCCGACAGCTTTAATCACTCTGTGGCCTGGATTTCTTCTGGTTCTGGTGGTAGCATTCATGAAATAAATCCCTGAAATGTTTTTTGGGAATTCTGTCATTCAGAATCTCAGATGTGGTTACTGGATTCTGATAGGCGTATAGAGCTTTAAGTTTTATCACTTGGATCTTAACAATGAAGGACAAGTAAACTATTTGAAAATCAAACTTTCCCTTCACCAGTCCAAAATCTATTTGACAAAGTAAATGAGGATCTGAAGTGCAAAGGAAGTCAGAAACTTTGGATGGGAAGGGATATGAGAACAGTGACTCATCCTCCACCTACCGGCTAAACATGGGGCCATCATGTGTGTGGAATTACTGTAACAGCAGGATCAAAGGCTCAGGTGAAATGTGAGCTAGTATGAGTGAGTGTAAGGAGTTCCTGCGAGTTCCTGCAGTTTACAATATGTCAGCCTCTTGTCCACAGACTTGATCGTGTGCTCATGAGAAAGACTGTGGGCCGGTAGTAGCATCTGAAAGAACCTGCGTTCAAAACAGGCAGAAGCTCTCCTCACATTGTTCTCCAAGGAGCAAAGCATTTCCATGATTGTGGAAAGATCACCAGAATTATTCCTCACTCCCAGCAGCACTGTTGGTGACCTATTGAGGCTGAGAAAGTTAAACTTTGAGATAATTTCCTAAAGGCAAGAGACGTGGAAATATGATAGGTTGAGATATTGGAGATCTTTTTTTGCTTAGGGGACTCCGGATCACTTAGAAATCCCAATATCCACTGCTATGAAGTACAAGTCCTCAATAATGTTGAGGATGGCAAGGAAAGGAGAAACCACAGTTGGATGATAGTGCTTTGTTCACAAATTCCTGCGTATCAGCACTCTGCAGGATGAATATGTGAACAGAGACTCTAGCTGATGTTGAAGTGCATGCAGAAGACTATAGCAGAGAGGAAAATATTAGGTCAACCTTACAGAAAAATAAGCTTTCCATGGCTCTATGTGCAGCTCCTCACTAGAAAAATCTATAACAAATGTTCCCCTAAAATAACCTTCACAACAGTGAAATTCATGCCCTTCTTACCTCCTACTAGATTGACTGACTCACCCAACACACACTCGCACGCGTGCACACACACACATACACACACACACATCACAGTCATTCTAGCAGAAGAAAAGGAAAGAATTTCCAATTATAAACACTATATTCTTCATTTTCTATTCCTCTACATGTGAATTCAACCATTGATTCCCAAATTGCAAGCACAAAATCAAGACAAATCAATGGATACAAAAGAAAGCAGTCACCAGAAGCAGATGGAGAGATTATTTACTTGGGAGAAGTCACAGAATTTAAAATAACTGCTTTGAAAACTTACATGAGCAGATGGCTAATTTCAGCAAAGTTGTGCTAACAATGAAGCAATTGCTAGAAAATGTTCTTGGAAACTAGTAACAAAGAGGAGAAATCTTTCTAAGACAAGCCACTAGATTTTACACAACTAATGAAACCTCGAGTTAACATGAGGCTATGTTTCTATACGGTTCTCAACTTAACCAATAAGTGAAAAAAGAGAGGAAAATGAAGCTGTGGAGAAGACCCAAGAGCACTTGATAATATCCAGTTGTCCAACCTACATGGATTTGGAGTCTCAGAAGCAAGAGGTAGGGAGAAATGCAGAAAAACATGTGGACAGATAGTGGCTGAGCACTTCCCCAAACTGATGCAGGACATCAAAGTAAAGATCCAGGAAACCCACAGAATCCCAACGAGGTTTAAACAACAGCACACCTGCTTACCACCCAGTGTGAAATCACTGAACACAGCCAACGGAAAGAACATTATATATGAGAAATGCACACGCTACAGCTGACTGCAGTTGTCATAGGCAGGTGAAAATATTGGGGTCTCTTGGAAGTGCTCAAAAATGCTGAAAATGCAAATTTATATGTCAAAAATGTGTATGTTAAAAAATGTGTAACGGTTCCCCAACGCGTTGGCCTAGCAGCGAGAGTCCTCACCTTGATTGCACCGGGATCCCATATGGGCACTGGTTCTAATCCCGGCAGCCCTGCTTCCCATCCCGCTCCCTGCTTGTGTCCTGGGAAAGCAGTCGAGGACGGCCCAAGGCCTTGGGACCCTGGATCAGTGTGGGAGACCTGGAAGAAGTTCCTGGCTCCTGGCTTCAGATTGGCGCAGCACCAGCTGCTGTGGTCTCTTGGGGAGTGAATCATTAGATGGAAATTCTTCCTCTCTGTCTCTCCTCTCTATATATCTGACTTTGCTATAAAAATAAAATAATACTCTTTTTAAAAATGTGTGTGGAAACGAAAGAGAATCATCATTGGTCAACTTGTGCTAAAAGAAATATTACAGGGAATTCTTCATGCAGAAGCTGTATAATAAGACATCTAGGATCTAGGAGTTAGTATGATGGCAGGTGGAGCTGCCTCTTGATAGTGTAGCATTTGGTTTGGGTGCTATTTTGTGTCTCCATGTTCCACTTCCAATTCAGCTCCTTGGTGAATGGCCAGGAAAGAGCATTGGAAGATATCCCATGTGTTTGGACCTCTGGAAGCCAGGTGAGCTATGTGGAAGAAATCTTTGCTCCTGACTTCAGCCTGGCCCAGTCCAGGCTATCGTGGCCATCTGGGGAATGAAATAACAGGTTGAACAAAAAAAGAGCCTCTCTTTTGGCCTATCACTGTCTTTACAACTGAATTTCAAATAAATAAATAAACACATAAATAAATATTTTTTAACCCTTGAAATTGTATTTGAAGTGAGATGGCCTGCAGAAATCTGTAAACTAGACATAAAATTATGAATAAGAAACTGGATATATAGCACATGCAACAATAGGAGAAAAATAGTAGAAAAATAAGATGTAGAGAAGAAATTTGAAATATGCTATTAAGGTTCTGACACATGTGGTATTGTGCTTTATATTACTTGAAGATACAATGTGATAAATCAACTAAATATTTTGTATGCCTCGAACTACAACTAGGGATTTTAAAAAAGAGATATAAGCAATATCTCAATTGTGAAGATAAAATGAAATAAGAGATAATCCTAATCAACCAGATACATGGATAAAATTAAAAATATATAAACAGAAAAGATCTACTTAAGTAACAGTTTAATCCAACCATGTGAATTTAAAATGATACACACATACAAACAAGAAGAGTTTTCAGACAGGATGAACAAGGAAGGCTCAATGGGTGCTGCATAGTAAGGAGGCTAATCCTAGCGTTTGCTAGCACAAGTGTTAGATGACGAGACAGGCTGCTTCCCTGTCCACCGCATCTTTACCCACAGGCCCCAGGAACCCACACACTTGGTCTTTAGACTCTATGCACACATGCTGATTTCCTGGTTGCCTCCCCAAATGCCTGCAGCAGCTGAGGCTGTGCCATCCCAAAGCCAAAAGCTAGAGAAACTTCATTCTGGTATCCTAAAGCTGGATTGGAAGCAGGTGATTAGAGACTCTTATCCCAGTTCTTCGATAAGAGATGCAAGTGTGCCATATAGGGGCTTATCATGCTGCACCACAACATGTGTCACCGAGTTTTCTATATTATCCTTATGCTGTAACTTCACTTTCCTACCACAGCTATGTCAAGTTCAATGAGTGCATATTGTATTTCAGAGTACTTTTGTTCTTCCATCATTTTGATAGCATACAGTAGAGAATATGTAATATTTACCACTTCACTGGAAAGTTTACAATTTTTTTTCTGTGAAGTCAAAGAGAAACCTCAGGATAGATCTAAAGTTAAGTCTTAATTTGTGAGTGTCCTTAGTCCAGCAGAGGACAGCATTACAACAGGGAGAAAAGATTCTCAGGTCTTGGGGTAATGGGCCATGTAAGATTGTACAACTTGGACATTTAGGTAAAGGAGAAATGGCACCAGCTGCCATTTTCCTTTCTTCTGTAGCATTTGTAAAGGCATCAGGATAATCTACCACATATAAGGGATGACTGAAAAAACTACTCACAGGAAGTATTGAAGTTAGTGCTGAGATGTTTTTCTTCCTCATTTAGAAGTTTTTGTTCTCCTGCCTGGAGCTGTCTCAGATAGGACTGAACCAGCCCCTCCCCTTGGGCCTCTTGCTCCTTCTCTCCTCCCCTTGAGATCCCTTTGGATCACATTTTCACCCAGTCTTGAAGCCCATCTCACCCTCAGCCTCTGACCTGAGCTGCAGGTCATCACTTCCTCCACCAGTTCTCAGGACAGAAGTTTAGGTGTGTTGCTGGTCTATAGCATTCAACAGTAAGAGCTGGAATGGATGTGGTCTGGTAGGGCAAAGTCATTGTTCCTGCTATAACAGGAAGTAGTCCAAGTGGGGCTTGCACCCTCCAGTGTGCATGAGATCTACCCCTGAGAGTTGATCTGATAAAGGAGCTTAGGGAACTTCTCAGTCAGGATGCAATCCCTGCAGGTAAGCACAAGAATCAAGGCTTGGAACAAACCAGACCATGCCAGGTTAGTCTAACCATCAGCATATGTGTGGGTTAGGTCTAGGGGCTGGCTAGGCTAGGCCGGTTCGTAACACTCACTGGCAGATCTGAGAAATAGGACAGGATGTAGAAGAGGCAACACCAACCAGAATACCAACCAGTTTACATTAGGAATGGGACAGGGGACTGGCTAGTCTGGGCTAGACTCAAGCACGCACTAGCAAAAGCTAGAACTGGGGGCGGGCTGGGGTGGGCAAGATTACAGCACCTGCTGGCAAATGCTCAGCACATGTAAGACCTATGGTAGGTAGGGAGGCTGCAAGTGGCTCCCTTGCAGGGCCACTGCTCCTGCTGGTGAGCATAATAGGGGCTGGGTGCAAACCAGGTTAGGTAGGGCTACAACTGACTCTGAGTCTGGTCTGGTAGTTTGATGGAAGGCAGCATGTTAAACCACCTTTTGCCACCAACACTTGTCCATAAGACCCGGGAGGAGGCAAGGCATCACAAGCTACTAAGGCAAAGCACCCAGAGGTAGCTTGGGCAAGGAAAGAAAGAACTGCCTCTGTCATACTTGGGGCTGACTGTTGGTGCTGAGGTGAGCTTCAGCATCCTATACCTCTGGGAGTTTCACACAGACTGGAAATTTAGTGACTATAGTAGCATGTGATATTTAGCTGGTTTTGGGGCACACAGAGCTACACAAATCTGCTGTTTGACTCATGGTCTGGTGTGGGTGGCAGTGGGAATCAATATGGACTAAACTGCATGGATTATCTGGCATGAGGAGACCAGATGGTAACTTCACTGACAATCACAATCATTGCCTCGCCCATGCTGACAAGAGGATATTCACCATGTCACCCAGAATATCACAATGAGCTCTCACCCCACACTGGAGCACAGAACACAAAATAGCACCCACACCTGCAGATAACTTTTAAAGAAACTGTCATCCTACGAATCTGCAAAGGCAATGTTCAAAGGTAAAATCCATCAGAAGAGATAAACATGTACACGTGGAACTGACTGTAAGTAAGGAAGCACACGAATCATAAACAGGGGAGACATTATGATTTCCTCCAAGGACATAACAGCACTCAATATTAGATTGCCAAGATGAAGTTGCTGATGAAATTCCTGAACATGAATTTTTAAAATGTGGTAAGATTTTCAAAAACAAGGAGAAGAAAATGCAGGATTTACAAAAATCCGTTCATTAAATGAATGAAAAAACTCCCATGAGAGGAAAATTTTGAAGAGAAATCAAGCTTAACTCTAAGAAATGAGCAACCCAATATGCCAAATGAAAAATATAGTGAAAGATTTAACAAAAAACTTGATGAAACGGAAGAAGGAATCTCTGAGCTAGACTATGATTCCTTGGAAAAAATCACAGTTAGTATAAAGAACAGGAAAAAGATTTAAAAATTGTGTAAGATTTATGAGCCATTCTCAAAAGACTGAATATGAAAGTCCTAGGAGTTACTGAGAATGTTGAAAACACTGGATAAGAAGGCTTATTCAATGAAACAATATCTGAAAACTTTCCAGTCATGGAGAAGGTAAGGTATAACCAAATTCAGGAAGGACATAGAGCTCCTAATAGAAAGATGGAAAAAGACCTTCATCATGACACATTTTAGTCAAACATCACGCAGTTAAATGTAAAGACGGATTAACTTTAGAGCATCACCAATTAGATTTACAGTTGATTTCTCATCTGTAAGGCTGGGAGAATCTGTAAGGCTGGGAGAGAATGTAAAGATACAGTCTGGATGCCAAAAGAGAGAAACTCTCAACTTAGAATGTTATGCCCATTAAAGATCTCATTTTTATATAAGTAGGAAAGACATTGCAACACAGGCAGAAACTGAAAACTTTTGCAAGATTCACCAAGCCCTAATCATGAGACTTAATCATGTGCTACTTCTTGATCCATTTAAACCTGATATTATTGTAAGGTGAGAGGTGGGGGTCTTGATTCTTGCTTCTGCGGGCTGCTATCCAATTGTCTCAAGAGTGCTTCTTGAAGAGACCAACACTTTTGCCTGGGTTGTTTTCAGTTCTCTTGTCAAGGATTAGTTGGCTGTACATGTTTGAGCTCCTTTCTGTGGTTTCTATTCTGTTCTGTTGATCATCTTTGTTTTTGTTGTTGTTGTTTTTTTTTTTTTTTTACCATACTAACTGTCTTGATGACTATGGCATTGTAGTATGTCTTGAGATTTGAAATTGTGAATACCCAATTTTATTTTTATTCAACAGGATAGCTTGGGCTATTTGTGGTCTCCTATGCTTTCAGATTAATGCTCCTAACCATCAAACTATTAGAAGAAGACACAGGAAGTACTCTACAAGACATAGGCATTGATAAAGACTTAGAAAAGTCACCAATAGCACAGGCAATCAAAGCCAACATAAACAAATGGACTACATCAAACTAAGAAGCTTCTGTACCACACAGGAAATGTTCAACAAAGTGAAGAAGCAACCAATAGAATGGGAGAAAAGTAGCAGAATAATGGACATGTGACTGTTGATGGACTGCACTATTGTAATAATATGGGGGGAAAAAGGTGAGGGAATGTAAAAGGGGAAATTCCAGAGCCTAAGCAATGTACCATGTACATTGTACCATGTAAAATAAAAACTTTTTAAAGTTAAAAGAAAGCAAACCAAAAAAGAATGTGTTACACACAGAAACAGAGAAGGCCAATGGCGATAATGAAAGAACACGAAGGTAGAAGCTTTCCTAGGAAAGACACGATGGAAATCCAAAGCACACAATCAGAGTATTTGTGAAAAGTGGTAAAATTAAATCATTTACCTTTCAATAATAACCCTGATTGCAAATGGCCTAATCTCTTCAAAACATACAGATTGATGGAGTGTATTAAAAAAATCTAGACACATCTATGTCCTGCATACAAGAAATACACCTCATCAACAAGCATATAGAAGCAAAGGATGGAAAAACATATTCCATGCCAATGGAACGGAAAATCAGCACGTGGAGGCATTCTAGTATCAGACCACATAAAATGTAACAACAACAGCAACAACATAACTAAAGAGATGAGATGAGATGAAGAATGGCATAGCAATAATGATCAAGGGATCAGTTGAAGAAAAGAAATTACTATCGTAAAAGTATACCCATCTAATTTAAAACAATCGTTAAATCTTCTCACTTTAGGAAAAACGGAGACTTCACTATGATGATAATGGGGGGTATTGATACCCGCTGTCATCAATACACATATTGACTAGACAGAAAACAATGAAGTAACCAAGCTAATCTAACTACGAACCAAATGGACAAATTATATATACAGAACCTTTCATCCCACAGTTGCAGAATATACCATCTTTTCATCAGTTCATGAGGCATGCTCTAGATAGGCCACATGCTAGGCCATAAAGCAAGCCTCAGAAAGTTCGAAAAATTAGAAAACCTTTTGTAAAAACGTGTTTCATAAATGTGTAGCATCCGGATCAAGGAGTGGAGAGACTCGGGGGCAAGGGTTGGGTTGCTGGCTGTCTGAGTCAGCTGTTATAAAAGGCAGGGAGAACTCATTGATCACAGTAGGTGCAGACCTTCCATGATGTGGTTCTGTGCTGTGATCTTGGCTTCTCTTGCTGCCTCCACAGTTTGGGGTGAGTCCTTCGAAACACAGGTGCTGGGTTTGGGGCAATTTAAAAAAAGGGATACATTGAGACAAGCTGAGTGGAGATACAGAGGGAGGCTGAAGTCTAATAGTTCTGGTTCTGCAGGAGTGTGCCCTGTGTCCTTGGTGGATTCCAGCCTTACCTGGCCATTCTGAGAAGAGATGCAAGGGGTGGGGAGAAGAAGTTAGAGATCACAAGAGCCTGAACCTGCTGTAACTCTCCCTGAGCTTTTCATTGCCTGTTTCTTTTCATGCTCACACTGCAATCATCCTGCAAGTTACAAACACACAGGGAGTGCACTTACTTTTCAGATGGATGATTCTCTTTGTTCCTCACTTTGCCAGCTTTCAGTCTTGAAGAGTTCATGTCCTGTGGCTACACCCTACACAGCTCAAGGACACATGTCTGCAATGTGAAAAGCCCATCTGGAGTGTGGGTCAAACTGTTCACATCTGATGTATCCTCTTTTCCATTCTACATCCCCCAGGGCAGACAACTGCACCACCTGTGGTGAACACCAGGCAGGGCAAAGTCCTGGGGAAGTTTGTCAGTGTAGAAGGAGTGGCACAGCCTGTGGCTGTCTTCCTCGGAATCCCCTTTGCCAAGCCCCCACTGGGATCCCTGAGGTTTGCACCACCAGAGCCTGCAGAACCATGGAGCTACGTGAAGAACACCACCTCCTACCCACCCATGTAAGTCTTGCATGGCACTGACATTTTGTAGGACCCCCAAGAGAATTATAGACTTTTGATAGCAATCTGGAGTACTGTAATTTAGTATGTATTTATTGAGCACCAACTGTGTGCCACACATATTTTGGAAACTTGGGATCCATTGGTGAACAGAACATAGATCGCTATTTTCATAGAGCTTGTCTCCCTGCAGTGCGGAAAAAGATAGCTGACATGGTGCGATCTCATACATTAATTATGGAATATTCTAGCACACAGTGTTTTTGGAAAAAGCTGAGTGAGTGAGAGAGATAAGAAGTAATGATACTATCTAATTGTGTATTTAAACCTATGCATAGTGTGAGGGTTTTGTATATGTGAGTTTATATGAATGTTTATTCAGTATGTTCATACAACCATGTTTGCCTTGAACCTAATTTGGGTAGAGCAATTTTGTGTGTGTTATAATTTAGGTAAAAGCTCCCTTTTGCTATTAAAATATAGAAAGCCCCAATTCAAAGTGATTTACAGTTCCTGAAAATAAATTTTGACCACTGGATAGGTATAGCATAATTATAATAAAGTAATAAAATCTGAATCAAAATTTGATGTTATTTTAAAAGTATTTGGAATGTTTTTGCATTTTTTACTATTTGGTATTGGGGTATCATATTTTACAAAATGTTGTACCCCTTATTCTTGGTGACATGAAAAAAGAGTCCCAGAAAGAAAGCCAGACATATCTCGTTGCTCTTTATTCTTCTAGCTGGACTGCTGAGTGCCTCATTGACCCCAGATACAATCTGTGAGCATTAGGGGAGCCTGACTCTTGGTGTACCCTGAGATATGGGAATAGTGCTTATAATGTCCTTAGAAATACACATGCCATGTGCCTGCGTCTTCCTGTCTATGTGCCCTTAGTCATTTTTTAAAAAGAGCATCTGTAACTTTAAGAGGCCTCATTGCTATCACTAAGTGCAGTCTGTGTAGATCCCAGAGATCTCTGACCAGACAGAATATATCCCTGGACTGAGAGGAGGGAATGATGACATTTAGCAGACCAGACCTTTAGGCCTTTCAAGAACTTCTCCCCTCATGTCCACCTTGCTGATTAACTCTCAGATAAGATTGGAACCGAAGTCTCTTAGCAAATGTGTGGCTGACACAGGACAGCTGTGTTGTTTTCCTGACGTCATCCACAAAGATGTCACCCTAAGGTATTGCAGTCCTTAATGCCGGCTGTGTTCAGGACTTCTTGTGCTTTATGAAGGTTTTCAATGGATCAGAACATGCTTACTGGTGGAGAGACATTATCATGTTGCATGCTATGTGAAGGTGAAGCCATTGCAGGGGAGTGTAGTGAACGTCATGCTCCAGGTGATTTATTGTATAGGAAGCTGCCTTTCCTTGTCTCAGAGCATCCAGACACTCTTAGAAGAAGAGTGTTGCCAAGGGATTTTCATTCTGCATGGCCTTGGGAGAATTTAGTGTGTCCAAGTACCCAGCTAGAATCTTTAGGAAACCACCTACCAATTCCAGCGACTTGACTATGAAAACATCAACTCCTCTTGCTAGTTTAAACCTCTATTCCAGGTTCAACTCCTGAGACATTTTGGTGAAATATGTTTCTAACTCAGCGGTGCTCTCCTCCACAGGTGTTCCCAAATCACAACAGAGGATTCACTGAATCCAGATTTAAATCCCAATAGGGAAAATGTTACTCTTAAAATGTCTGAAGACTGCCTTTACCTAAATGTCTATACTCCAAGCAACTTGGTGAAGAAAAGCAGATTGCCAGTAAGCATTGGACTCATAATCATTAATTTCTAGCACCATAGATCACCTGATGCAGAATGCAAGTGTATGAAAGCAGTCTGGGGTTGTGGCATCATTGTCCAGATCTAATGCTGGGTTCCCAGGATTTCCTCTAATCAGAACAGACATCATTTTCTTTTATTTTTTTAAAATTTATTTTTATTATTTTTTTATTGGAAATGGCAGATATACAGAGAGGAGAGACAGAGAGGAAGATCTTCCGTCCGATGATTCACTCCCCAAGTGAGCGCAACACCCGATGCTATGCCGATCCAAAGCCAGGAGACTCTTCCGGGTCTCCCATGCTGGTGCAGGGTCCCAAAGCTTTGGGCCATCCTCAGCTGCTTTCCTGGGCCACAGGCAGGGAGCTGGAAGGGAAGTGGGGCTGCCAGGATAGAACCGGCGCCCATATGGGATCCCGGGCATGCAAGGCGAGGACCTTAACCACTGCACCACCGTGCCGGGCCCCAGACATTACTTTCATATCACAGCTGTCCCCATGACGTAGGGCTTCTGGTTAGACAAATTCAATAACCCATCCTTAACTTTGCACATAGAGCATTTGAGGCACAAATGGAATAAGGGAATCTGCACCATAGCATTTGTAGGAGAAGAACTCAGGTATTCTCATCTTTAAACCTATCATTTTGACATGGGTTAGAGAATCAAGTTTGTGAAAGACGTTCTCTTCACCTGCCAGACCCTGCACACCATGGTTCATCTATATAACATTCACTGTTTCATGACCTACTTTCAGGGTGGAGTAAAATCTATGTAACAGTTTATTTTGCATTTTGCAAGTCATTTAATGTTTTGTTGCAACTAATATACTTTTCTAATTAGCTTTGTCACAGTCTGATGCCTTCCTGAGTCAGCATTTCCCAATATGTCACAAGCCATGGATGAGGCGGGATGCCAGTGACAGAGTGGCGAGGACAGAAGCAAGAGCAGTAGGAAAAGGAGGAGTGAGTGAATCCCATTCTCTTGGGCGAATGACATAAGGATTTCAGCCTCCAAGTCAGTGTCTCAGGGATACCCAATCTTAGTGCCTGGAGAGAGCAAGAAGATCTCTACATGAGAATGTTGGCTGAACCATGGGGTTGTAGAAAAAGACTCATTGGTCATTCATTTATGCATCTTTTCTGTACTCATGTCCTTATACAAACATAGAGAAGTGAGATCTGGAATTAGCAGAATGGAGAAGCATAAAAGCATCGTGATGCGATTTCTGCCTTCACAGACGTTGCCAACTGCACTACAAAAAGACGTAGTAACTTCTTCACTACATAATTGATGATGGCTCCCAGCACAATCCGCAGCTTAGCCCCTTCCCTGAAGGCAGGCAGATTAGAGGTAGAAGTTAAACAGGTACTCAGGGAATCTAAGCATGGGAAATCTCTACTTGGGGCCTCTGGACTGTGCAGGACTTGAGAACTGAGTTGGCCAATTTCATCTTGGTTCTGCCTCTGATGAGCTGGAATATTTAGCCATTTCTTAGCTTCCCTCAGCCTGCATTCAATGAAGACTAATAAGCTGTGTCTCAGTGCCAGGCTAAGTTCACAAATCAAGCATTTTGAAAGGTTAGTGGGGAATCTTACTGCTGAGTTAAAGAGCCCATTGACTGTGCTGTGTTCATGACTGACAATAGCTCAACATGTGGCTTTGGAATCAGACTAGTCTAGTCCATATCCTGCTTCTACTTAGACCTGAAACTCCCAGCAAGTGAGATGCCTTAGTTGTCCTGTATGTCTAATATTACTATTTATCTCATGGTTAGCTTATTTTGCAGTGCTTATAGCAGTACTTAAACATAGTTCTCACCAGGGATTCCTTCTAAGTCAATCAGACATATTTTGCCATTGGTCATTTTTACCACTCCAATTGCTTCTTGCATGATAACGTTTTAAATGCATAATCCATGAAGTATTTCTTTTATCAGTTTTAATCTTAATTTTTTTTATTATGGTCTCTTAGTCATAGCTGTTAGGTTTTTGATATCAATCAAGTAATTGAAGGCTTTTGGGAGGAGCTGGAGTTCAGACTAGACACTGGAGTAAATAGCATTTGGAATATGAAAGAAGCTAAGGGGAATGTGTTAGGAAGAGCCTCATTGGGGATCCGTGCTTCTTGAAACCCTTATTGAAACCCACGTTTAGGTCACCACAGAAAAATTTCGTTGTATAAAGCTGAAAAAAAGCTTTCAAAGAGTCTTGGAAATTGATTTTAAAAAGTGTTTATTTGGGTGCTCAAAATTAAAATCCAGCTTGTTTTTTCATAGCATACCTTTTCCTTTATCTTCTTAAGATAAGGTCTGTTTTATGCATTTGTTGAGGTACACTCACAGAGATGATGGGAATGTTGGGGAAAAGAGGAAACCTAGGCCTGCACTATTCCCATGATGATAGTCTCACTTTGAGGATCATTTTGAGATGACACTTGAGACCGAGGAGAAAGGCAAAGATAAACAGGCTGAATAGAGTCATGCTTTCAAGAATCTTGGAGAGCTGGAGGAGGAGAAAAACTACTTTTTAAAATTTGGTGGCACTACTGCATATTGCTTCACAGCCTTCCTGAACAAAAGGTGGGCGAACCAACCAGACAACATCTCAAGTCTTTCCTTGCTCTGCCTGCTCCCTCTGCAGGTGATGGTGTGGATCCATGGAGGTGGTTTAGTGACTGGTGCAGCATCATTGTTCAATGGACTGACCCTGTCCGCCCATGAGAATGTGGTGGTGGTGACCATTCAGTACCGCCTGAGCATCTGGGGATTCTTCAGGTAAGTCGTTAGACTCTCCTCACCTGTGATAGGTCCCAAAGTGAGAAGGCCATAGATGTCCTCAAGAGGGTGCTGAGTTCCTTAGTAAGGAGTAGAAATTCCTATATAATTATCCTCCATCTGCCTTCACATTTTCTAGACACACTCGTCCTTGTGTTATTTCCTTCACCTAGAATGTTTACTGTACCTGACAAATTCCCATTGGTCTTTCAAGGCGCAGCCCAGTTATTAACTATTCTGGAAAGCTCATCTGTGAGGTAATCATAAATTCATCATAAGGTCACCTGTGCTGACCTTACATACTGTACTCCTCTGCAATGTGAGTCAGCTCACAGCACAGCAGTTACTCATTCACAGTCTGCTCATGGGAAAGGAAGGAAAGGACAGGCTCCTGGAGGGAGCGCCTGGTGTCGCATGTGAAAATAGAGGAGTTTGACCTAAAGAGTAATGTTCCCTGTGGGAGTGTTGGGGCTCACTTGGTCCTTGTGCTGTTTGGAATATGGCACGCAGGAATCAAGGATAGAAATTTCCCATTGAGTCTTCAGGAGCACATATATTTGGTTACGTGCCAAGCACAATTCCTGAGAGCCTTTTCTGAGTGCAGCTGGCAGGTGGGAAGGGGCAGGGATGCTGTTCTCCAATGAGAAGACTGTAGAGCAGGTGGAGTGGTTCAAGTTGGTCTGTCACTTGTCCACTGCAGCCAAGACGTGGCTCTATTAATTATCTTTAATGAGGCTCCACAGTTCTTTTGTGCATGGCCAGTATCTCTGCTCTCCATTGTGGATAAACTTACTATGAGATCTCAGTCTACCACTTTCCTCTTTGTCTCTCTCCTACTTAATGCTGCTTGGATCTCAATTCTTCTTGTCATCTGGCCATTAGCATTCTTTTCATCAGTGACCTTTGCCAGCCCTAGGCCCAAACTTATGCCCTCCCAACATAAAACTGATGAGCTCATTTGGCTATTTCTAATGCTTCCTCTGCTGGATTGTTGGCCACTTGCACCTTATGGGATCTTTCTTCGCAGTCGTCCTTGACCGCTCTCTTCCTGCCTTTTCCATATTCCACCTCCAGGTGTCTGCTTCTCCCTTGCTGGTGGTGCCCTGAGTGAAATGCTATATACAGGGATCTCTTTAAAAACACAAACACCTGTCATTATGTACCTCCTCCCTCTACTGATTTTAAAAGGTTTTTCTCCCAGGCCTGGCACTGTAGCTTGTGGCTAAAGTTCTCACCTTGCATTGACTGGGATCCTGTATGGATGCTGGTTCTAATCCTGGGGCCCTGCTTCCTGTCCAGCTCCCTGCTTGTGGCCTGGCAAAGTGGTCGAGGGTGACGCAAAGCCTTGGGACCCTGCACCCACATGGGAGACCTGGAAGAGGGTCCTGGCTCCTGGCTTTGGATCAGTTCCACTCTGGCCTTGTGGCTGCTTGGGGAGTAAATAAATGGATACATCTTCCTCTCTGTCTCTCCTCTGTATATCTGACTTTCCAATAAACATAAAATAAATTTAAAGAAAAATGTTCTTCTCCCATCATTGGGATACTAGTACAACCAGCTCTCAGAGTCACTTCATGAGCAATGCCGCACGTTTCCATAGGGTCTCTTTCACTTGGTCAAGATAAAGGCCAGTAGACAGCTTACACTCTATGCCAGCCACACCAAATTTGTTACAAGCCCTCTTGCTCCATTTTTCAAATATATTAAGACTCCAACCTCTTCCCACTTTCTCCTTGAAACCCCCATTCACATCCTTCTGTTTCTGCCCTCGCTTATTAGCATAACCACTTTGTTTCACAACCCTCCTTCTTCAATACCCTTGCTGACCCATACAACAGTCAGAGAGATCATTTGAGACAGATTGAGTTGTGCCTGTCTCCTCTGCACAAAATCATTCGGTAGATTCCTCATTACTTGCTATGATATCACAGACCCCGCGAAAGCTCACAGCCCTTTACAGCTGCATTGGCTGCTCTCACATGTCCATTCATGGAGCCTAAGGCCCCTAGGTCTCATTGCTTCTCCTGCCTGGAATCCCTTTCTTCAGATATTTTCATGATCCTTGTGTTCATTGTATTCAAGTCCCTATTCAAAAATCCACTGTCCCAGAGATGTCATCCCTAGACATGTCACCTGAAATACCATCCAGTGTTCGGCCTAAACTTTCCCTTTGTTGTATTTCATGTGTCCTCCAAGCACTTTCACTGCCTGTCAATATAATTATAGATTCATCTGTTTGTGGTCTGTGGGGTGAGCTCAGTGTTCTGAGGGGTTGTGATTTGTTGTTCTCAGGTGTTCTCTAGCTTACAGAGCACTGTGACGCACACATAGCAGATGCTCATTTCAGAGCTGTCAGGTATGTGAAAGCAGAGCTCAACACAGAACCATGCTGTGGAAATGGGAGGCATGTTAAACGCCTGTGTCAGGGATGTGGAGACAGCCTTGTTATGGAAGACTGATTTGAATGCATGGTCCACTGTGGTCCTGGGAACCCTGCCATAACATCTATGCTCCCTGCCCTGCTCTCTTACAGCACAGGAGATGAACACAGCCGAGGCAACTGGGGTCACTGGGACCAGGTGGCTGCATTGCGCTGGGTCCGGAACAACATTGCCAACTTTGGAGGGAACCCAGGCTCTGTGACCATCTTTGGAGAGTCAGCAGGAAGTCGAAGTGTGTCTTTTCTTGTAAGTGTTCCTTTCCCAAGTATGATGGCTAATGTTGCACCTATAGAAGATCACCTCTCCAGCCATGGTCACCTTGCTTCCATATACTGCATTCAGGAATAATCTTAAATTTCTCCCTAATAGAGTGGAGAATCAAGATAGGTTACTACAATTAACAAGGTGTGTTCTGGGTGTGTCCTGATGTGCTCTGTTTTGTTCCTTGCTCTCTGTACTGACTTTATCATGCTGAGGTTCTCCTGGGGTAGCCTGGTTCAGTGGAAGCTTGGGACGTGGGTCAGGCCAGACAAGGATCATTGGGTCCACAGATCCCCAGGGTGTGCAGGGAAGCTGGCCAGGGAAGATCAGTGTGATGAGGAAGTCTTGAAAAGATGCATGTTGGTGACCCTTTTCCCAGGAGCATGACATCTCTCCTCCTGTTTATTCCCCTGCCAGGTTTTATCACCGCTGACCAAGAACCTCTTCCGTCGAGCTATTTCAGAGAGTGGTGTCGCCCTCACCTCTGGCCTTTTCAGTAGGAACCCAAAGCCCTTGGCTGAGGTAGGTCTCACCCTGGAAAACTTCTTCACTCCTCGTTATTCTCTCCTAAATCCTTTTTTTGAGGAATCCAGCTTAGAACCTTAAAGCATCCCTGACATGAGAATGGCTGAGCAGGGGCAGCAAGAGATACCTCACCCAGTTTAACAACTCCACAATCGAACAAGAGGAGAGCACAGAAGCGATTTTCCAAGGTTATGAAATGAGCAGGGCCAGCCTGCAACTCAAGCTTTTCACTCTGAGCTGCAGTGCCGTGCACTGTCCACTGTCCACGTTGTTGCAAGTGTGCCATGTCAGAGCACTAGGTGGACAGTGAGCGGTGACTGTGATGGTGGCTCGTGGTATGAGATCAGGTGGATGCACTTGCAGGATGTATAAGAACAGACAGATCCCTCCCTCAGTGTCTGTGACTGTGGTTGGTTCCTGGCTCATTCATTCATTGACTCAGTTATAAATGTTAGAAATATTCTTTCCATTTTCCCACAAAACTTATTAATTACAGGGGAACATAAGATAGGCTTATGTAACTACTGTATTTTCCTACACAGAGACTTTGTTTATATGCTGTATGATTCCATTTTATGACATTATATAGGAAAGTATAAAAGCAGTATAGAAAAGTTGCAACTGTGAGGGTGATGGTGTTTGCATAGTTTTAAGGATGTGGCATGGGATTGATGACCAAGGAGTAATATGAAGAGTATTTTCTGGGGTGATCAGACCATTCTTTATACTGTGTTTGTACATTTTCCTTATATGGTTGGCAAAACAATTTATGAAGTATGTTTAAATGTACTTGGAAAATGAATGTTAAAAAATGACTATGCAAGAATTTGAAAAATATTTGCACCAAAATAAGATGTCTTTTGGTCTCATTTTTTCTCCGTTCTATGGGCTCAGGGATTTCCCTTTCCCCCGTCTTTCTCCTACCCCCACTGATCTCCCTTGTATTACAATAGTATAGTCCTTCCAAAACGATCACAAGTCCATCATTCTGCTATTTAAGTGTATCCTGAAATTGTAGATAAAAATCCACCAATGAGTAACTGTAACCCTAAATTTTTGATTTAGTACCACAGCCCATAGTACCCATTTTTATGTGGCCTTTTCACTAAGGATATATTATTTTTTATTTACAAATGACTGAGTAAATCAATTAAATAGCAATAATCTTTCATGACCCACATATAGGATACTAAATTCAAATTTAAATCTTCTAAACAAAGTTTTGTTGTAACACAGGAATGCTCATTCATTTACATGTTGACCACAACTGCATTTCATAACAACAGCAGGTTGGGTGGTAGATATAATAGAGACAACGTGGTCCACATAGCAACAAATTTTAACTACTTGTCCACTGATTAAAACTATATGGAACCTCCTTCTGAAGTGACGTTAAACTTACTTTTGGCACCCAAGCATGAAATTGAAGGTGAAAAGTTACAGCCTTGGTACAAACACCTCAGTCAACTGAAAACCATCAAGGATGTATGAGATGCCCATCAGGCCACTCTGTTAGGGATGACACCTCCATCACACCCTGTACTATCTCAGGTTCCTTTGTGTCAGTCATGGTATCTAGGGTTGCTGCAATTTTGTATGCTTTCGTGTGCAGGACACCAGTGTCCTCCTGCTGACTTCACATGTGCCACTCCATCTTACAAGAGAAGTACAGTCACTCTCCCCACTACCTATGGGGGAGAAACTGAGACATAGGGAGTATAGTAGCATGTCTGAGGGTAACAGCTAGTAGGTGCAAAAGGCAGCACATAAAAATAGACTGTGGAGTTAAGGATCTGTAATCTTCATTTCATTTCCACACTGTCTCTCTTGAGATATTCAACACTGGGATCATTATTCTTGTGTTAAAAGGATCCAGGCATTATTGAGATACAGAGAATGTATATTTTGTTCCTCTCTCAATTCAAATTTGTAACAGAGGCAACACCGTGTGAAACATGAACCCATCTCTGCTGGGACAGAGTATTTCTGCTGCCTTTGGAGGTTGGGATTAGGCTAGGACACCTCTGTGTGTATTCATGTAAGGAGAGGACAATGATGCTGAACTCTGTTCTCCGTGATCTCTACAGAAAATTGCTGTCACAGCTGGGTGTTCTACCACCACCTCAGCTGTCATGGTTCACTGCCTGCGCCAGAAGACAGAGGAGGAACTCCTGGAAGTAGCACGAGAAATGGTAGGTCTTTCCCTCCCAGTAGCCCCACCCTGTGTACTGGACCTCACAGGTCATCATTTCAAAATTGTCCTCTTGCCCTGGAGACACTAGATGGGACATTTCTTCATCTTCCAGGAGTGTTAGCCTTTAGATCTGAAAGTGGAATTTCATTTTCCTTTTATTGTTGTAAAATAGTTCCAATACAAACACATCCACAGATAAAGTAGCTAAAATGACATAATGATTATTGAAATATTTCAAATGTCAAAAAGGTCAACATAATATAAATTAAAAAGTGCTTTGTGTTTATGTCAGATAATTATGAAGATATCTAAATTACAACCTTTAGGGATTCAGTTTTCTAGATTTCCAGAAACTGCTTTTATATTATAAAATTAGCCTCTTCGGTTTTGTGCTCCCAATATCAAAAAACAGTAATGTACCACGCATCACCACATTCTTTCCTTTGTCATTCATCCAACCAACCACCTATTTCTCCATTCAACCAACAATAATCTTCTAATTATCTATCTGTCTATCCTTCCATCATTTGAATATTAATCCACCCATATTTCATTCACCTATTTTCAGCCATGATCTACCAGATATCACTTCTGTATGTGCACAAACATTGTCTCATTCAATTTTTTTTCAAAACAAATGATCCATACACCAATTATCTGTGAGTTATCATCTGTGTATCTATGTGACAAATTGATACCCCGTCTGTTAAAAAGAACTCCACCATTCATCTGTCCCTTCATTTGTTCATAAAATTTGCAGGTGTTGGGGAAATCTCTGGGACTAAATTGCAGAAATGAATTGAACATAGACTCTGTTAAGCAAAGACCAATGCATGGGGAAACAGAATTACAATATTATTTAGTTAAATGCTTTGAGAGCATATAGAGGGACATGTTCATTATGAACATCTAGGCTGTTTCTCAGGAAAGTAGCTTTGTCTGGTTAATGATTTTTCAACAGAAAAAAATGCCCAAAGAAAATAGCATCCAGGGTCAATGAGAACTACCTTATTTGCGCAATAAGATGTTCATATGGCCAAAGGTTGATCTTACCTCTTTACTTGGACCCTGGAATCTGCAGAAACCTCTTTATATCCTGGAGAGATCACAATTTCTGATTGTCCATGAGTTGTGTCTAGTGTGGATTTGGGCTTGATCAAAGTTCATTGGAATCTGTTAAGGTGACCAACATGCTGAAAGAATTAAATTGCTACTTCTTTCTAATTCATTGAAAGAAGCAAATATTTCCTCAATTTTCCAAATGAAAAAAAAGGATGAAGTTTATGAGGGAAATCTTAATGACCTTAGGGAAATGCAAAGAGTCAGACATTCCAAGACAACCTTTTGAGGTGTTCTGAGTTCTTAACAAGCACTCCCATGATGTTCCATTCAATGTACACATGTACCCATTCCCAACACCCCTCCTACACCTTGGTGATGGGGTCACATCCTGGTCACGTCCTACATTCAGTATAGACTGCTGTCTGTAGTGTATGTTTGCCATCACAGAAATCTTGTTAAACTCATGCCAGTGACAAGCATGGAGTGGTGTGTGTTTCAGTGGAGCTGTTTAAGTTAGGACTTTCTAATGCAAGATGAGGAAAATTAACTAAAAATGACTTGAATAGGAAAACAAATGTGTTTTAACAGAATCTAGAAATAACAGAAATGCCAAGAAATGGATATTTGAGCATGAATGATACCAGATACTCTTAAATTATCATCAAATATTATAAAATGTTCTTACTTCATATCATTCATTTTCATCCCTATGTGCTGGTTTCCATAAAATATAGATTTGTTCCCTGGGGATGTTAAAGAAAACAGCAGTGTAGTCATATACTACTTGTGTAGAAATTCTTTGCTCAAAAAGTCTAATAACATTTTTAAGTTTGGCTCTTTCAGTTTGACACATCTATGTGCCCACACTGAAAGTACCCTTTGTCTTTCTGATCAGAAACATATTAGGCACATGCAATTGAATAATTCAGAAAGTGAGGGGTGAGAAGGAAGAAGCTCCCCTTGTACAGTGGGGTGTTTTGGCAGAGGATTCCTGGTGGGAGGGCGGGGCAGGGAAGGTGAGGCAGGCATTGACACAGCATAGCCGATCCAGGGCCCTAGTGACACCAGCCCTGGCCCCAGGACCTAACCATCCTTGGGTGTTGCCTTCCTCCTTCCATCCCACACTCATACCCAGAAGAGCCTTGTGGTGTCTCCTTCTTCTCAATAAGACTGGAAGGCAAGGGGAAGGAGCACTTGACTCCTTGTTGGCAGAGCCCACATGATCATCTTCTCACCAGGATGGCTTCTCACCTCATCCTCTGTCTTTGTCTTCACAGAAATTTTACACTCTCAATTTTGATGATGAAGACCCCACAAAGGTAAGAACCTTCAATTCTTTGTTGTAGGTTTTGATTCTTGACCTCCTTGAAGCTCTGATTTCCTGTGGAGGAAAGTTCCCCTTGGTGGAATCAGTCATGGCTTGTGTGCATGTTACTGAGATCCAGAGAAGTGCAGTGACTTGCCTGGTAACACAGGTCAGAGTGAAACTTGTTCCATTTACTCTTAGTCTAGTGTTCCCAGCCACTAACTGTGTTCCCTGGGCTCAGCCATTCTCCCCATCTACACCTAACACACACAGTGTCTGATCCCCACGTTGGCCCCGTGTTGGACTTTGAAGTGGCACCTTGCACTGTGAGAGGGAGAGGTACGAGAGAAGCTATTTCTTCAGGTCTGTGTTTAAAGGATGGGAATATTTCAACTGTACATGGAGACACTCTCCAGGAATACTCAGACTCCAACTACTACTAACCATTTCGAAACTAAAATATATCCAAGCCGCTAGTATCCTGTGCTTGGATTAGTGCAGTTCAGGGGACTCCTATGTGGTCTCTCATCATCTACCTCTTCCCTGCCGTGTTTCTCAGAGCAGCCAAGATGGGTTTGGCAGTCCTAAGATCATGTTGCTCCTGCAGACATCACCCTCCTCCCAGACCCAGGGGTTCCATCAACATCCTCATGGTCCCTTGTTTCATCCACTGTCTTGTGCCAGTGAGTTTCAAGACTCTGATGACATTGGCTTGCAACACCTTACATGTTATGATCCTGTGCTATTTTGCATCTACCTGGATATCACAGCACTTTGTTGAATAGTTTTATGAGGATTGAGTGAGAGTCAAACAATCATTCTACAAGATAAATTAACCATTTTTTTGTATACCAGGATCGGCTTTAGCAGTTGGATAAATCAGGTTGAAATAGCTGGGAATCTGTGCCTTCTTGGAGCTTTCCATTTGCATGAGAAGTGTAAAAGAAACTCTAAATAAATGTGTTTAATGATGGTCAGCAACAGGAAGAAAAAGAGTGGATGAGATCTCCAGTGCTTAAAATTTAATTAGCAGGTTGAGGAAATTGTTAAAAAGGAAGGCAACATTTAAGTCAAGCTTGAGGGGAGCAGGAGGAAGTCAGGAAAACCAAAAGCAGGAACATATTGACAGTAGAAACTGCAGGTGCAATGGGCCTAGGGCAGCAATTCAGTGTGCTTGCAGTGAGCAGAGACCAAACCATGACGCTAAAGAGCTGGTGGGAGGTGATGGGTGTTTATATAAGCGATTAGAATTACATTTCAGTACCAGAAAGGCTATTGTTATTCTCTAGTGTATCATAGCATTATGATTTGAGAACTTCCATGGGGAAAACCTTATAGCGCAGCATGTATATTGCTACTTTACATTCCAACATTGAGTATCAGAATGACTGTTTTTAGACCTGGCCACTCTGCTTATGACACAGGCTCCTTTGAAAGGCCTGGGAAAGAGGCAGACAGTGTCAACTATACTTGCGCCACAGCAATGTAGGGGAACTGACTAGAGTTCCTGAGACAGGCTTTGGATTGTCCCAGCCCCAACTGCTGTGGACAATTTGGGGCATTAACAATAATCTTTGACTGTATCTCCACCATTGTTTGTTACACTGCATTTAAAATCAAAAGAAAAAAAAATGTTGTTAAAACAATAATTTTAAAAGCTTCTTTGCTTGCCTTGTGAACTCAGATTATGGTAAAGGAATGTGGAGAGGCAGCAAGATCAGGTGGGAGGTGCCCACACTGCACTAACTCAGGAATGACTGCTGCCATGTTCACCTGGTCATGCATTAGATGGTGGACAGTGTGGAATCTTTATTTTTCAAGGATATTCTGATTGAGTTTGTTGATGGAAAAATGCCCAGTGTGAGAGAAATAGAGGCAGAAAATGCACTCTGAGTCCTCTGAACCCAGCAAGGACATTTCTCTGATACAGTCAGGGCAGCCATTGCAGCCATTGCAAGGACAGAAGTCACTGCTCTGGTTCTTGTTGTACTAGGACATTCTCCCTGATGCTGCCCTATTGAGCCCACACTGTCTGTCTTCTTTTCTCTTCTGCGTCTGCTTTCCCTCCCCTTTCCAATGCCTCACGTGCTGTCTAACCTACCATTAAACACAAAGAGCCCATAACTTCCTCTTCAATGGTTAACCCTCTTTGCTTCAAGACTACGTCCTTTTCCTGTGTTGAACGAGTTCATTGCCATGTTCTTGGTGGTCAGATGGCACAGTGGTTAAGAATTCATCTATCTGCTTCTGCTTCTGCTTCTGGCTCCCCAGTAATGTGTGCTCTTGGAAGTAGCAGGTAATGGTTCAAATACTTGGAATCTCTACCACCAGTGGGAAAACATGGGTTGAATTCCAGGCTTCTGAATTGGCCTGACCTAGCCTAGAAAGTTGAAGGCATCTGGAGTGGGAACTATTGGATAGACAATCTCTTTCTTTTCCCGGGTCTATCTGTTTGTCATCTGATTTTCTGCCTTCAAATAAAACATAAATGAATGAAAGCATATAGAAAACATTTGGGAAATAAAATGAAATTATATGTCTATTTTGAAATGAAACATTACAAAATTTTTGCCTAAAATTTTCTAATACGCAGTTTCCATGCAACTTGTAAACATTTATCTTATACATTCACACTTTTATCCAGAGGTGCTGGTGTTGTTCACAGGAGGGTAAGTACCACTTGCAAGGCCAACATTCTTTATGATCCCCAATTTGTGTCCTGGTGGTACCTCTTCTCATCCAGATCCCTGAAAATGCACATGGGAAGACAGTGGAAGATTCTCCAAGTCCCTGGATAACTCCACTCATGTGGGAGTCCCAGATGGAGTTTCTAGAGCCAGACATTGGCCCTAGCCTTTAGCGCATTGGGGAGTGATACAGTGGATAGAACATCTCTGTGTCTATCTTTGTAACTATCCCTATCAAATGAGTTAAATAAATATTTAGAAACATAAATATATACATAGCATATAAATAAGTACATTTATAGGCATATGTATCCTTATACATGTAAATGCAGGTATATATGAACATATACATGAATATTTCAACTTGGATGAGTATTTCAACTTTTCTTTACTGCTACTAGCTACTGCTTGCATTCTGCCTTTTGTTAGAAATGTAGTCTTCTTTTGTACGATCCAGTATTTCAGGTCCATTGTGATGACCTCACACTGAGACAAGCAGGGAGGGAGGGTGGTGTGGGAGTTACTTGGGACAACAGAATTACAAATATTTGTGTTGCACTCTTTACAGAGCTACCGCTTCATGACCACAGTAATTGATGGAGTGCTACTGCCAAAAGCACCTGAAGAGATTCTGGCAGAAAAGAAATACAACAGAGTCCCCTACATTGTGGGAATTAACAAGCAGGAGTTTGGCTGGAGCCTTCCAAAGGTGAGAACATGCAGGCTAATTGGAAGGACTGAGCTCCTACCCATTGTCCCTCCCACCTCTGGGAGGCATCCCTTCTTCTCCAAGCATCCCTTGAGTACAGAAAAGCTGTCCCCTTGTGAACGAGTGAATGTTTCTGTGGAAATCTCTGGAGTGGCTCGACTATCTCCTTGGGGGTATCATCATGGGAACATATCACAGCCAAAACATATTTCGGTGTCATTCAGTTTAAGAATGCTGAGATATCAAGGCTTGGAGACCTGCAGAGGTAATCATTGTGGGACAGGCAAACCGAGGATGCCTGGGAGAGGGAAGGAGCTACAGAATGAGGCCCGGTGGCTTCTTTCCTGGGATGGTACTGATAGATACCTAAGCATTTCCATGAGATGCTCTATCCAGCTCATTGTAGACTCAGAGAATGGTACTTCTTTGTGAACTAAAACTGACTTCTAGAAGGGGAGAAGGACCTTTCTGTCTGTCCAAACTTTTACAAAGTTGAACACTCATTAAAACAAAGAAATATTTTGTTCACTAAAGCATAACGAGATATTTATTCAAGCTGCAATGGGATAAGAATTCTAGCTGAAATGGACTCAGATCCATCAACCCAAAGGCTAGATAAGGAAAAACCATCTGGGGCTAAGAGGAAGACCCAGGAGTGAGGGTGTTGAGGCAGGGTTTGTCTGTGTGCCTAGGCCCCTTGGTTTGGTTTCCCCATACTGCCCTGGAGAAGGAACCTTGTTTGACCTTGATGATAGAATGAAGTGGTGTAACTTGAGTTAGGGTCCCCACTGAGGATGATCCTTTTTACTTCCACAATGACCTCATCATGTCTTAAGGGATGACCAATGTTAGTATTTTGAACATCAGTCAGTCAGTCAGTTTCTGGATGAAGTGGTTCTGGCTCAAAAAGCTGAGGTGGTTGTACAACTGAAAGCTTTTTAAAGTAACTGCTTTAAAGGGCTACCATTGTGTGGATGTTGTGCGATCATGTACTCAAATGTTTATGGGTTGTAAATAAGGCCTCAATGTGCTGACATCAAGGAGTTGTAGAAACATTTTAAATTATTTTTAATCATGTATTCAAAAGGCAGAGATAAAGAAGGATGGGTAATTCTCCTGGTTCACTCACTACATGGCCACTACAGCCAGAGCTGAGTGGGTCTGAATCTAAAAGCCTAGAGTTTCAGTTCTCCCACATGGGTGCACAGGTCCACTGACTTGGACCTTCTTCCTCTGCTTTCTGAAGTGATTAGCAAAGAGCTGGATCAGAAGTGAACAGCCAGGTTTTGAACTGGAACCCATAAGATATGCTGGATCCTGGGTCTGGTGTGATGGCTCAGTAGCTGAATCCTTGCCTTGTACTCTCCAGCATCCCATGAAGAGGTGCGGCCAACACACACACACACACTGGCACAGATACTGTGAAACTGTTTCCTAATCTGTTTTCAGTTTTTTCACTTATTTTTAAGGAATATATTTTTAAAAATCTATCCCTGTCAATGTCTGACACAATCCTTTTTTAAAATATATTTTTATTTTAAATTTTGAATTACGTGGCACAATTTTGTATAGGTTGGGATTCCCCCAAACTCCCACCCACAGTCAGATTTTTTCCATTTTGTTACAATAGTGTAGCCCTTCATAAGAAATTGTAAAATCTTAAAAGAGCCATAGCCTATTAGTCTGCATGGTTAGTTTGTAACTTTTATTAAATTTTAATAGATCTCAATGCTTTTTTTTTTTAACCAGACACTGGGCTTTCAATTCTCTGAAGGAGGCCTGGACCAAGAGACAGCCACAGAACTCTTATGGAAATCCTACCCGCTTGTTGTAAGTGCCAGGGAATCATTGGACTCTGTTGTGACTCAACGAAGGGCAGGGGACAACCTCCAAATCACAGATGAATTAAATGGCAGAAGAGACAGTAGGACTGGAAGGTTCTGTCTCTCTTTTTCTACCTTCTCTACCATATCTTTCTGTAGAATGTGCACAGAACTATAGAAATTCACCACTGTCCTTGTCAACTGCATTAAGCAGCTGTACAGCTAATCCTAGGGTTGGAGTTGGTCGTCACTCTTTTGATTCATTTCAGAACATCTCTAAAGAACTGATTCCAGTGGCCATTGAAAAATACTTGGGAGGAACAGATGATCCTGTGCAAAAAAAGGACTTGTTCTTGGACTTAATTGGAGATGTGTTTTTTTGTTTTCCATCTGTGACTGTGGCTCGTTATCATAGAGGTGAGTTCCAGAGGTTTGGTGGAAGAAGGATGTTGACCCACTACCCTTCTGTCAGCATAGACAGATGTGTAAACTGGTGATGGTGAGGCTTGAAACACTGATTCTGTAAGGCCCGGGGCGGTACATTGTGCCTTATTGTTTCTGTGAGTAGCTGACTATAAGGAAAGAATTCAATTGCAAGTGGTTTACTTGAGATATCCAAGAAATATTAGTAGTGAGACAAGGAACTGGCATAGCAGAAGCAAATGGAAAGGAACCAATGTCAGTCTACTGGATTTGAGAGCTCTGGGAGACTGGCAGAAGGCACATTTCATGATTACCCCATCTGCATGGCAAGGGAGCTGGATATCACCCACCAACTTCTACTTATATTTTGTTAAAGAATATTTCAAATGTCTGAAATTCCCTGGCATTTTACCCTGTTATACCCGTGGACAGCATAGTAGTCTTGTGACCAGAAAAACTTCTCAGTCAGGAGCCACAAGAGTTGCAGTAGAAGACAGCCATATGTGCTCAGAAATAAATGAGGTGGATGGAGGGAGCACTAACAGCATCTGCCACAGGAGCTGCTTGTCTGAAGTGACGGTGAGAGATGATACAGGGCAAAGAGTAGAACCTACACTGAGCAAAATTTTTCAGATCTTAATTAGTTTGCTAATGACTGGCAGTAGAGGAAGGAGAGCCAAGTCCAGGACTAGGCAGGCTATGTAGAGTCAAGAAGGCCACAGGGGTTGGAAGCAGCAAGTGCGGGGAGGAAGGAGCTGGGTATCGTCAGTATCAGGCTGCTGTTTTCTATCCTTGGATAAGCAGGTGTGCAATTCTGTTATACTTCATTCCCACACTGATCCAAGTGTTGGTGAGGTGGGATTTTAAAGATGCATGAGCTCATCTGAACTTCATGTTCCTCCATCTGGGTGGCATTTGGGGACCATCACAAGATCACAGGATTCTTCAACTGGATCTCACTCACCTCCTCTGAAGCAGAGTAGAACTTTCTTCTCTATCAGTGCTGGGAAGTTCCTACGCTGAATACTTTGTATGACTTAACTTTTAAAGAACTAGATAATATTTTTGCAGCATATGCCATTAATGCTCCCACATAGCATTAATCTAGACTCTAACTACACTTTGCCACATCTTAAGTCCTTAGCCAGGACCGAGCGGCATGGCCTAGCAGCCAAAGTTCTTGCCCTGAATGACCGGGATCCCCCTATGGGTGCTGGTTCTAATCCCGGCAGCTCCACTGCTCATTCAGCTCCCTGCTTGAGGCCTCAGAAAGCAGTCAAGGATGGCCCAAAGCCTTGGGACCCTGCACCCGCATGGGTGACCTGGAGGAGGTTCCTGGCTTGTAGCTTCACATCGACGCATCACTGGCCATTGCGGTCACTTGGGGAGTGAATCATTGGATGGAAGTTCTTCCTCTCTGTATATCTGACTTTCCAATAAAAATAAATAAATATTAAAAAAAAAAGAAACCCTTAGCCAAGTGCAGCCTGTGGCCAAAGCTGTTCTATAAATGATTGTATTATCCAGATGCCCCCAGCATCTGCTCTGTTCACACAGTATGGGATTTCTGCTTTTCATCTGATACTTCATTCTATGAATTTCTGAAGCCCTTTTCCAACTAAAAGGCATATCACACTAGGTTTGGTTTGCATAACTTTATTAGCCTTTTCATTTTATCCTTAACTTTTTATAATAGCCAAATTTCAACTGTACATCTTGAGGATTATAGGTACATATTTTTTGAATTTCATTGAATAGCTAAAAATTCTAAAGATCATCCTTGAAAATATGTCAATTACTCTTTCTATGGTAAATTCTTTCACTCACACAAGGTCTTACCTCCATAGTCGAGTTCTGAAGTCCTTTCTGAGATAGTTGGGAAACAGAAGCAAGGTTAAAGTAAATTCTGCTTGACTTCGAATTTGATGCTGAACTAGCACTTTCCAGGGCACAGAAGGACACTTTCTTCAAACAACACTCCTTGCTAAGCCAAGGCTGCAGTGGTGAAGGTTCCTCATGTGGAGAGACTACGGTCATGATTTTGAACTCTTTTATGAATGACTGCTTATTAATGTGAAGTATTGTTATAGTCTATGATGAAAGAAGCTGTATAATGCTATCACAGCTTTGTATACATAAAAGCCTATATTGTCAAAACATGGTGAAAGGATTTGTGTGAGTGAAGGAACAATGAGTGAAACATGTTTATTATTCTTTTTAAAGCAATTTCCAGTCTCATATTGGGTTCATGAGGGCAGGGATCCTAGGACTTCTCTGACAGTGTGATTTAGGGCTGTGTCTTCTAAATTATTTTCTCCTTGGGTGTCACAATCAATGCAAATAACCAAGTTCAAGTGGCTTGTGACTTATTCCAGAAGACACAGAGGTCAACAGCTCCAGTAGAAGGAACACTGGAGTATCCCTACAATGAGATTAATTTTAAATGAATAGTCTCATATTTGCAGTATTCATTCATTCAACCCTTAACTACCTCAATTTCCTATTCTACATCAACTATTTTTGAGTAGCTGGGGTTTCATGAATCACACTGTCTCTACTATACTCAGAGCCAGGGGTTTTTCTGAAAAATCAGAAACTATGCATAAACCTATGTCTTCTCAGATGCTGGAGCCTCCACCTACATGTATGAGTTTGCATATAGTCCAAGCATCTTATCAGAGACAAGACCTTTGACGGTGATAGGAGACCATGGGGACGAAGTCTTCTCTGTCTTTGGGATCCCACTTTTCACAGGTAATGCAATTTTAAGGCTGACAGCTTGGAGTAGGAGACCTGGGTTTCCATCTTTGTGTAGTGATTCTGGGCGAGTTGTTTTCTCGTTTTCCAATTTACTGTGACAGAGTGAACACTAGTCAGTCCCCAAACGTCGCCCTGCCTAATTCACATGTAAGAATATTAATGTCCCCTCAGCATCATTCTCAGAGTTCCAGCTTGAGACATCAGGAAGATGGGTGGTGGGTCTCCTCTATGCCCTTGCTCTGTGAGGAGGAAGTCTCTGATTTTCATCCATAAGAACATATCAGAATAGAGTGAGGGTAATCCTAGAATTGGCCAATGCTTTCAGTCAGGTCTAAGTAGTGTGTCTACACACATGTACTTCTCATTCGCCTTCACAGATTTTAAAACTTAACCTACTTAATGATACTATATTTATACAAAATAAATTAAAAGTTTCTTTTATAGCTTAACTTTCATCAGTTACAGCTAACTGTGGCCCCTCATACCTATCCAGGACACCTTAGTGTCTGTAAGCATTTCTCTTTTGGGTGACTCCTTCAAATGCTTGCAACCTTGTTAATTTTAAGATTCTAGGAGAATGTGGGTAAAAGAAAGATATGTAGAAAAAATAGAGAAACTATTAGGGCAGAATTGCTGAAGTGGAAAAATTGAAGGATATGATTTTGTGATCCCGGGTTGGGGCAGGCAAGTGGTGTCACAGAAGACAATGGCTGCTGGGTTGTGTGATAACTGCATGCACCCTTCTGAGTCTTAGCTCAGCCATTCTCAAAATGAAACTCCACACCAATTAACCAGAATCTTCAGAAAATGTATATAATGATGCAGTAGATGTGGAATAAGGGCCCAGCCTGTATTTCTAACAAGCTCTCAAGTAATACTGATGCTTCAATCTGTGGACTACAGTTGGTGTTGCAAATGATTTTCTCCTTCTCCACAGAGGGTGTGTCAGAAGAGGAACTCCAACTGAGCAAGAGGATGATGAAATTCTGGGCCAACTTTGCTCGAAATGGGTAAGGCTGGTGGAGTAGAAATGGATCTATTGGGCAGTTTGAGTGATCCAGCTCCAGAGGTGTTGACCAAAGTGCCTGACACCAAGAGTTCTCTGAAACAGCAGCCTAAGGGGATGGTGAGCAAGCTACCTCTAAGGATTAAGAGCCTGTTATGAGAGATAACCTTGTTGTGTCCAGAATTTATGCCCAACCGTGAACAGATAACCTCCACATGCAGCAATGCAAAAGCAGAGACTTTATTGCTAGCTAGGGCTGGGGTCCGAATCTCATCCCAAACAGCGGAGTCTTGACAAGGACCCTGCCCACATATCTTACTCAGTTTATACAGGATTTTAGTTACATAATGCTAAATTCCAAGAATAGATTATAAATTCTATGAACAGACACAGGTAGGATTGTGATTGACCTACCTATATTGCTCCTGACGACCTGTTGACCAGGAACTTTCTAGGTCTCTTTTGATTGGTCGGCTCTACCTAGGGTTGGTGGCAACCCACTTCAGAGAAATTGGTGCGTCATTTCTAGGAAACTGAAACGTAGGCCTAGGCTATCCCAAGGCCTGTAATGGCTTTATCTTTGTTCTCTGTGCAGCAAGCTAAGCACTTATTACAGAAGCCTAAATCAGCAGTTAAATCAATAAACTCTACTTAAAATGGATTAACAATGCTCTAGCCCTACAACCCATGGTGGGTTCCTGTTTTCTCAGGGGTTTTCTGTGGCCCTTCATCATTTGGAGGAATTTCTGTTTGATTCTGTTCCCAGGAACCCCAATGGGAAGGGGCTTCCTCAGTGGCCAAAGTACGACCGCCAGGAAGGATACCTGCAGTTCGGAGCCTCCACCCAGGCAGGCCAGAAGCTGAAAGACGAGGAAGTGGCTTTCTGGACTGAGCTCCTTGCTAGAAGGCCGTGAGATCACACCAGACAGAAAGCACTGAGCCAAAAATCGGAAGAGAAGTCAGCCTCAACACAGGAGGAGTCACGGCAGGCATGTTCTACTGGAGATTTATTTAAGCACTGAGTTGTCTTATGGTTGAAACTGGGAAATTGTCTGGTGGGGGTGAGCAGATCAGGAAATGGAAAATAGATGCTCTGGGTCTCAACTTTAGAATAAAGCATTTTTGGAAGATCATACAAGTGTGTGCATCTTCTGAAAATGAGTCCATCTTCCTCAGAAATTGGATGTAGGAAAAAAAGTAGTAGGAATGTGACCTTCTGGGGGTGTGCAGGCCTTGGGGTGAACAGAGTCTAGAACACTGGGCTGTGGAGTTCCAAGGTAGACTCTGGGTCTACCCCATCCTTCTCGGTCCTCACAACTTCCAGCAACAGGATCTGGTGTGAACGGAGTACAGTGTCCCTCCCCCAGTTTGGAGCTACCTTTGAAGATGGAAGTGGCATACACTGAGAACCAAGCTGCAAAATGAAAAAAAAAAAAAAAACAAAAAAAACTCCATGGTGATCTTGTGGCAATATTGCATGGCCTCTACTGACACAGCCACTTAATACCTTCAACTGCACAGCAGCTCTTTAGGCCCCTTGTGGGGGCTGTGTCTTCTGACAGCTTTTTTTTTTATTATTGTTGCTTACATTGTATTATGTAGTACAGTTTTATAGGCGCTGGGGATTCCCCCCACCCCTCCCATACCCCTCCCCCCATGGTGGATTCCTCCACCTTGTTGCATAACCATAGTTCAAGTTCAGTTGAGATTCATTGCTTGCAAACACATGCCTAGCATAAAGTTCAGCGTCTTATTGTCCAGATAAGTTCAGTGGCCTCTTGGGGAGACCTTCTATGGTCTGAAGATAGGTCTAACAGAGTAAAGATCCGGTCAGTTAAAAGCCCCAACAAGGCCTCAGTATCAATATACAACATTATGGAATTAATTGACATAGTATTGGGTAAACAATATGTTAAAAATAATGCAAGTTCCATTCTTCGAAACATCTGAGTTGAGACAGTATCAATGACAGGTTCAAAAAATAACAAACAACCAAACAAAAAATTACAGGTTAAATCAATGCAAACATGTGGTATCTAATCTTTTGGGACTCGCTCATTTCCCTTAGCATTATAGTTTCCAGTTGTGCCCATTTAGCCACAAAGAACTGCATTTTGTTTTTTTTAATAGCTGAGTAGTATTCCATGGAGTAGATGAACCAAAGCTTTCTTATCCAATCTTCTGCTGATGGGCATTTTGGTTGCTTCCATGTTTTTGCAATTACTGATTGTGCTGCAATGAACATAGGGATGCATGTTGGTTTGTCGTAAAACAGGTGTTTTGGATATATTCCTAGGAGTGCTATTGCTGGGTCATATGGTTTGCAGATTTTGAGTTGTTTGAGTGTTCTCCAGACTGATTTCCATAAAGGCTGTACCAATTTGCAGCTCCACCAGCAGTGGAGTAGGGTTCCCTTTTCCCCGCATCCTCGCCAGCAAGCGTCGTTGGTGTTCTTGTTTATGTGGGCCAATCTTACTGGTGTTAGGTGGTACCTCATCGATGTTTTAATTTGGATTTCCCTTATTGCCAGGGAGCTGGAGCATTTTTTCATATGTTTGTTTGCCATTTGGACTTGTTCCTTTGTGAAATGTTTGCCCATTTCCCGTGCCCATTTCTTGAGTGGCTTGTTTGTTTTGGTTTTTTGGTTGTTTTGAAGTTCTTTGTATATCCTGGAAATTAGCCCCCTATCGCCTATATCGTGTGCAAAGATCTTCTCCCACTCTGTGGGTTGCTTTTTTACTTTGTTGATTGTTTCCCTTGCTGTACAGAAGCTTCTTAGTTTGATGAGGTCCCATTTGTTTATTCTGTTCTCAACTGCTATTGCTTTTGGTGTCCTCCTTAGAAAGTCGGGACCTACTCCTAGGTCTTGCAGGGTATTTCCTACATTTTCTTGCAAGAGTTTGAAGGTTTCTGGATGTAGGTTTAGGTCTTTTATCCATGTAGATTGGATCTTAGTGTATGGTGATAGATGTGGGTCTATCTTTTTGTTTCTACAGGCTATCAGCCAGTTGTCCCAACAACATTTACTAAAGAGGCCTTCCCACTTGCTTGAGCTGTCATTGGTCTTTTTGTCAAAGATTAATTGGCTGTATTTGTGTGGGTTCCCTTTTGGTGCTTCTATTCTATTCCATTGATCTTCCTTTCTGTCTTTGTGCCAGTACCAGGCTGTTTTGATAACCACTGCTCTATAGTATGTCCAGAGGTCCGGGATTGTGATTCCCCCTGCTAACTTCTTATTTTTCAGGATGGTTCTAGCTATTCGTGGTTTTTTTGTGTTTCCAGATGAACTTTTGAATCATTGTATCCAGTTCCGTGAAGAATGTTTTGGGCAATTTGATTGGAATTGCGTTGAAAATGTATATTGCTTGTGGTAGTATAGACATTTTAATGATATTGATTTTGCCTATCCAGGAGCAGATTTATTTATTTATTGGAAAGTCAGATATACAGAGAGGAGGAGAGACAGAGAGGAAGATCTTCCATCCGATGATTCACTCCCCAAGTGAGCACAATGGCCGATGGTATGCCGATTCAAAGCCAGGATCCAGGAACTTCTTCCGGGTCTCCCACGCGGGTGCAGGATGCCAAAGCTTTGAGCTGTCCTTGACTGCTTTCCCAGGCCACAAGCAGGGAGCTGGATGGGAAGCGGGGCTGCAGGGATTAGAACTGGTGCCCATATGGGATCCCGGGTGCGTTCAAGACGAGGGCTTTAGCCACTAGGTCACGCCACCAGGCCCTTCCGACAGCTTTAATCACTCTGTGGCCTGGATTTCTTCTGGTTCTGGTGGTAGCATTCATGAAATAAATCCCTGAAATGTTTTTTGGGAATTCTGTCATTCAGAATCTCAGATGTGGTTACTGGATTCTGATAGGTGTATAGAGCTTTAAGTTTTATCACTTGGATCTTAACAATGAAGGACAAGTAAACTATTTGAAAATCAAACTTTCCCTTCACCAGTCCAAAATCTATTTGACAAAGTAAATGAGGATCTGAAGTGCAAAGGAAGTCAGAAACTTTGGATGGGAAGGGATATGAGAACAGTGACTCATCCTCCACCTACCGGCTAAACATGGGGCCATCATGTGTGTGGAATTACTGTAACAGCAGGATCAAAGGCTCAGGTGAAATGTGAGCTAGTATGAGTGAGTGTAAGGAGTTCCTGCGAGTTCCTGCAGTTTACAATATGTCAGCCTCTTGTCCACAGACTTGATCGTGTGCTCATGAGAAAGACTGTGGGCCGGTAGTAGCATCTGAAAGAACCTGCGTTCAAAACAGGCAGAAGCTCTCCTCACATTGTTCTCCATGATTGTGGAAAGATCACCAGAATTATTCCTCACTCCCAGCAGTACTGTTGGTGACCTATTGAGGCTGAGAAAGTTAAACTTTGAGATAATTTTCCTAAAGGCAAGAGACGTGGAAATATGATAGATTGAGATATTGGAGATCTTTTTTTGCTTAGGGGACTCGGGATCACTGAGAAATCCCAATATCCACTGCTATGAAGTACAAGTCCTCAATAATGTTGAGGATGGCAAGGAAAGGAGAAACCACAGTTGGATGATAGTGCTTTGTTCACAAATTCCTGCGTATCAGCACTCTGCAGGATGAATATGTGAACAGAGACTCTAGCTGATGTTGAAGTGCATGCAGAAGACTATAGCAGAGAGGAAAATATTAGGTCAACCTTACAGAAAAATAAGCTTTCCATGGCTCTATGTGCAGTTCCTCACTAGAAAAATCTATAACAAATGTTTCCCCTAAAATAACCTTCACAACAGTGAAATTCATGCCCTTCTTACCTCCTACTAGATTGACTGACTCACCCAACACACACACGCATGCGTGCACACACATACACACACACACACATCACAGTCATTCTAGCAGAAGAAAAGGAAAGAATTTCCAATTATAAACACTATATTCTTCATTTTCTATTCTTCTACATGTGAATTCAACCATTGATTCCCAAATTGCAAGCACAAAATCAAGACAAATCAATGGATACAAAAGAAAGCAGTCACCAGAAGCAGATGGAGAGATTATTTACTTGGGAGAAGTCACAGAATTTAAAATAACTGCTTTGAAAACTTACATGAGCAGATGGCTAATTTCAGCAAAGTTGTGCTAACAATGAAGCAATTGCTAGAAAATGTTCTTGGAAACTAGTAACAAAGAGGAGAAATCTTTCTAAGACAAGCCACTAGATTTTACACAACTAATGAAACCTCGAGTTAACATGAGGCTATGTTTCTATACGGTTCTCAACTTAACCAATAAGTGAAAAAAGAGGAAAATGAAGCTGTGGAGAAGACCCAAGAGCACTTAATAATATCCAGTTGTCCAACCTACATGGATTTGGAGTCTCAGAAGCAAGAGGTAGGGAGAAATGCAGAAAAACATGTGGACAGATAGTGGCTGAGCACTTCCCCAAACTGATGAAGGACATCAAAGTAAAGATCCAGGAAACCCACAGAATCCCAACGAGGTTTAAACAACAGCACACCTGCTTACCACCCAGTGTGAAATCACTGAACACAGCCAACGGAAAGAACATTACATATGAGAAATGCACACGCTACAGCTGACTGCAGCTGTCACAGGCAGGTGAAAATATTGGGGTCTCTTGGAAGTGCTCAAAGAAAATAGTGAAAACAGATTCATATGTTCCGTAAAGCCTTTAAGTACCAAAAAATGTATGTGCAAACTGAGAGAATTCATTATTGGTGTACCAGTTTTCCAGGAACTATTATGGGGCATTCTTCATGCAGAAGGTGTTTGATAAGAGACAGGATCTAGAAGCTGGCGTGATGACGTAAAGCTGCCTCGTGCTGCTGTAGCATCTCAGCTGAGTGCCAATTTGTGTCTCCATGTGCCACTTCCAATGCAGCTCCCTGGCAAATGCCCTGAGAA